TGGCAGCCCTAAAATTATTTTAGGAAAAAAAGTCCTAGGAATCTGAAAAATTGTTTTTCCGAAAATTCTTCTATATCTTGATAAATTTTAAATTTTTTTAAAAAATTCCATATAATTCAAACCGAGTAAGTTTTTCAAAATATGTTTTTTAATATCTGACCCATTTTTAAATATTTCTAAATTATATAAAAAAATCTAATTTCCAGAAATTATAAAATAAAATTTTCAAGATATGTATCCCAGATCATCTGAGTTCTACAATCAAGGAAATCAAGAGAATCAAGAGAAAATCAGGGGAATAAATGAGTATTTCCAGAAAAATCAAGTTTTATTCAGCTTTAATAATCTCATATTTAGATATTTTCAAAACATTTTCTTTTTGCTTAGCTTTCTTTCTCTGTACCTTTTCATATATTCTGAATATTAATATTTTTTATTTAACTTTGTTTCTTCTTTATTTTGTTTTGTTTCTCATTTCTTCTAATTATTCTCCTTCTTAGTTCATTTATATTTCTTACTATTTTAATTCATTCTTAAAATCTACAGTAGCAATCAGAAAACTGTGGAATTCTCGTCGTCTTCCTTCGTTTTTTATCTTGACATGTCACGCGCTAAGGATTTTGTAATGTTTAATGTTTAAGTGATATACAGGGTTACCCACAAAGGATGAGACTTCAAAAACGACTGTACGGAATGTGTTTAGTCCCTTTTCTTGCATTTAATGTGTTTAGGCCAAAACTGCCTTATTTCTGTGCTTACTCATTAGGTAAACCCTCAAAATACTCAATTGAATGAAGAAACCAAAATAAAGCTTCAAATCGTCATATTTTTTGAGTCTCATCCTTTGCGGGTGCACATGATAGGGCACACAAATAATAACAAATTAGCTAAAAAATACAAATTCTTTGATGACATATCACATCATCATTCCATCTTTTTCTCGTAACCACTGTGTTCTTGTGAAATACTGTTAGATTAAACTGTAGTGTTTAATCAAGTAAATGGCACTTCCCAGATTAAATGAAAATTCTCGAGACTTGAATTTTTGGCGTAAAGTTTGATCGAAATTAAACTTGCAAATTGCTTCTATAATTATGTGTATACATTGTACACCTTGTATCTATAAACTATTTGGGTTCCAGGACGCTTCGCGCCTTCTGTTCTCTTAAGCATTTCAGCTTTAGATTGTTGAATTTTCAAATAATAATTTGCGCAAAATTCTAGTTCTACATAATCTATATGCAATGCAAGCAGATAGACTGGACAGATAGACTTACAGGACAGGCAAATATAAATATAGATATGCCGCAAATCTGAAAAGGAACTTAATTTACTAATTCCTAAATCGGTACAACCTGAAGTTGTAGACCTTTGACCTTCAAAGTATGAATTCTGCCGGATCAATAATATAAGGATATGTAAGAAATTGAGTCTTTGCCACAAATTCAAATTTTCTAATCCCTATATCTATTATCTACACGAAACGTTGATTTTCCAAACTTAGTCTATTTGATCTAGCATAATTTATAGTTTGCAATAAAGGGCTTCGACATCGGTTTACAACTTACAAAGAAATAGAGATTGAAAAATTAGAGTTTGTTGCAAATTTCATTTCCTTCCTGGAAATCAAACTAAAGTAAAACATGATCGGTTGTATCGAAATATTTAAGTTTTAATCTATCATTCTAAAGTAACCAATTCCATTCGTGATGAAATCAAATACTATAGATACATAACATAGTACATCATAATGATGGTTTCCCGGACGGTGGTAGGCGATTATATCAACATAATAATAATAATAACGACTTTTTTCTTTAATTTTTAATTGTTGACAAACTCTTTTCGAATTACAAGCTTACAAGCAATTAAATAAAAGCTTTTTAATTGTTTTTTGTGTATCCATGCTGTTTAAAAGATTGATATAAATCAAAAATTAAATCGAAAGTCAGCTTCATTATATTTTTATATATCCATGATTCCTTGCGGCTACAACTAGCTATAATAAACTTATATTTTTTTGCCAAATCATTGAAAAAGTTTTTTTATCAAACGTTGAAATGTAGAATATATTCTTTTGGTGGAAAACGAGATCATTCCATCAATCTATCATCCAAATATGAAATACTGGGAAAATGGTCGAAAGAGAAGCAAGTTTTGATTGAAGAAGTGAGATTATGATGATGTAAGGGGGGGCTATTGAAGGGTGAAGGGAAAAGGGGAGGGGAGTAGGAAGGGAGCTGGGAGGGAAAGGTGGGGAGTAGGGGAATGGGAGGGGAGATGAAGGGTGGAAAATAGTTTGAAAAGTTCCCTTGTATTCTCTAATCTCGAAATTAATGTTAATACCCAACCAGTTGTTTTAAATTCTTAATTAATTGGAGAGGGGACGGGCACATGGAGAGGGTAGGGAACATGAAGATGGAAGGGGACTTGGAAAAGGGAGGGCACATGAAGAGAGAGTATAGGGATGGAGAGGTATAGGGATAGAAGAGACATGGAGAGGTATAGGGATAGAGGAGACATGGAGAGGTATAGGGATTAGGGTTAGAGGAGACATGGAGAGGTATAGGGATAGAGGAGACATGGAGAGGTATAGGGATAGAGGAGACATGGAGAAGGGTGAGTAGGAACATGGAGAGGTATAAGGATAAAGGAGACATGGAGAAGGGTGAGTTGGAACATGGAGAGGTATCAGGATAGAGGAGACATAGAAGGGTAAGGGAACATTAAGATAGGTAATGATAGAGGGGACATGGAAAGGGGCATGATTATGGGACATAAAGAAAGGCATGTGTGAGGGTACGGATGGAGGGGACATAGAGAAGGGAGTGAGTAGAGGGACAGGCGAGTGATGATCACTGTTCAGGGAACCGTGAGAGGAGATAAAGTAGAGGACAGACAAGATGTACGTTTACGAGAGAAGATGTACGTTTAAGAGAGAAGATGTAAATTTAAGAGAGAAGATGTAAATTTAAGAGACCCCCCGTTATTTAAATTTAAGTCATGCATGGCTACACCCCTTAAAGGTTGTGTGTGCTCCCCTAGTGTTCTGTTCTCCTGGTAGCTCGTCATGAAGTCTCGTGACCGTAATGCACGATCCACCAGAACCGGAAACCAGCGCCAGGATATGACGTCACTAATTAGAGTGGGATAATGGCATTGGCTAAGCTAGGTTAAAATATACATATAACTAGGGGGAGCAGATCCTTTTCATTTATATATAATTCATTATATTATAAACCCTGAAAAATACATGAATTTGTTCAGGGGGCTTAATTTTTTTTAAAATGTGTCGAGGCTCAGCACCCGTTGGGATCTATACGTCAAAGCGTCACAACGGCTAAACTGATCGGGCCCATATTTTTTTGTGGGACCTAGTGATGATCAAAATTTTAAAAATTAGCCCCCAGCAAAATTCAATTTTCATTAAATTGAAAATCCGCGAAACTTTTGTTTGTTTTTGGTTTACAATGTACACTTCAAGAGAAAATGTTCACAATTGAAATAGAAGATGGGCGGGACTGCGAAGTGCTCTGAAAGCCTAGTACAGGGTGTCCCAAAAAACATGGGAATTCAGTGACGAATTCGATATCGTCTTTGTTATGAATTAGCATTGTAATACCTAATTTCAAAAGCAATATTTTTACACGCAATATACCAACATTTTCTGATGTATATATTTTTACACGCAATATACCAACATTTTCTGATGTATATATTTTTACACGCAATATACCAACAATTTCTGATGTATACATTTTTACACGCAATAAACCAACATTTTCTGATGTACATATTTTTACACGCAATAAACCAACATTTTCTGATGCAAATATTTTTACACGCAATATAACAACATCTTCTGATGTACATATTTTTACACGCAATATACCAACAATTTCTGATGTACATATTTTTACTCGCAATATACCAACATTTTCCGATTTTCATATTTTTCTCTGTCTTGCCTAAATTTCGTTCTGAACCACAATTAGTCAGTTTTCGCACTTATTTCAAACAATGCATTCGATTATCAAGATATTGAGTTTGAGATGATGTAGTTTGTAAAAATACATATGTTAAAGAAGAAGAGGGTTCTAATGAATGCAAAAGGAATATAAGGACCTTATGGTTGGGGTCAAAGGCACCTAAAGGGTGTAGGCATTGGGGCTCAGCCCTTCCCCCTGGAATGACAAAGGGCTGGACAAATTCATGTATACTCCTCTCGTGAGCCTTTGGTATATGTATGTTTAAGTATAAAAATTTCCATGGTGTTTTCCTTATTCATTTATCACATTATTTTGAGATCAAATACTATATTTTCTCTGAGGTTTGCTAATTAACATTCTTCTAACATTTCCCCTCCGACCACTAATTACTTTAATTGTTTAATACTATTATTTCTCTAGGATGTGAACGTACGTGTATGTTATTTATGAAAAAATATGAAATACCTTAGAATGTATTTTCATTGTTTAGAAAATATTTCTGAAGTTAACAAAAAGATAATAATTATTTGTATAGTATCTAGATACATCAAGTAGTAATCTCTGATTCCTTGAATGTCCGATCATAACTCAGGAACCCCTGGACCTATTTGCTTCAAAATTATATTGGGGAACTCGATAGAACCATGGAAATTTTATTTTCCAGGCAATGCTGGGTTTCCAAGCTGTAAGCCATAATTTTCGAACAATCAAGTTTTAGAATTAAAATTATCTAAATATGTTGTAAATGTATGCACAAATGAAAAAGGTTTAGTATTACAATATTTATACTAAATTCAATATATTCAATGATTTAGTACAAATTTTTAATGATCAAATAAAAAAATCAGTCCACAATTATTTTTTTTTAGATTTAATTAAAATTTTTAATGATGACAGTAAATTTAACGTTGTATTCTTAATTAAATTTGTTTTTTTAAATTATTATAAAATAATAAAAACTAATTGACTTTCTTTAATTTTATTTGTTTAAACACTGGATTATAATTTCATATTTAGTTGAGATCCAGATTCCCAGTTTGATGATTCTACCATGGATTTGTCTGTTCCTGTTCCCTGGAATATTCTCGAATGTTCTAAAAGAAGATCTTGGATATAAAACAGCAGGTACCTTTCCTCTTAATCAGCTCAAGGGCATCGATTTGAGACATTCGGATTTTTGGGCGTTTAAAGTTTTCCATTTTTTTACATTATGCGAATTATTTTCTCTGGTTAAAGATACCAATCAACATATTTTAAAACGAAAAATAACGATTTTACTGATCGTTTTGAAAAATCGTTTTGGTTTTTATCTTTGTTCAGCTCAAAAATGGTGCATATAGTGTAAAAAAACTTGTCTAACTTGCAATTTTAAAATAATGTTTACTTCTCAGATTTTTGTGGATCCTCTGAAAAGTCTAAAATTTTTAAAGTTTAAAAACGGACCTCAAAACTTTGCCCTTCCGTTGGTATTAGGAGCTTTCCCTCAGCCATGTCCAAGGGGAGGTTTTTCAAACGTTCATTTTCACACAAAAAAAATTCCCCATAACTTTTTTGATACCCTTGCATGCACTTAACCTAGATCTATCCTGAGCAAAATTTTCGTAATTTAACCTCTTAAGAACTTATAAACATTTTAGGAAAAGTAAACACAATAAAAAACTTTGTTGAAAGGTCAAAGAGCAGTTTTTTTTATAAGAAATGACTTTGGGAAAGAACCTCATATGGGAAAAATAATTTGTTTTGCTAAACTGTCATTGTTTGAATACTATTCCAGCATATTTTGTTTTTAAAACGCGTTTCAAAAATTAAGTCGGGAATTCTTTTAGAGCTAGGAAAGTTGAAAGTGAGACTTGAAAACGAAGATGACATTAAAATTTTGGAAAGGTTATTGCCTTCAATGCCTTCTTTATTTTCTCAACAAAGTAAGATTATTTTTCTAGTAAAGCCACGTTTTGTCGCTATGCAAATATATATATATACTTTGCTTGCCTGTTGGGTTCCTTGTTTCTGTCCAAAAGAAAACGCCAAAACAGTTGAACCAATCGGCCCCACATGACCCAAGGGAAGGATTATGGATAGTCAAAATTTAAACCAATGCCTTAAAAAATTTGGATTTTTTAAATCCACGAAAAAAACTTGAATATGCTCGAAATCTTTTTTTGTAATTGTTTGATAATTCAAAAGAGAAAATGCCGCAGAAGGAGCAACAATTAAATGTTAAAATAGACACCTATTTCTGTCTTTCTTCCAATAAAAATCTCTTCATAATTTAAAAAAGTTAGATTCAGGGGATGGGTTCCTCTGATAAGTTATAGGACAGCTGCAGTGGGATTAAGTCCAGAAAGTTGTAAAGACGAAAATTGAACTTTTTTTTACCTCCATGAAGGAATTTTTTTTGATATATATGTTTAAATTCCAAGCTCCGATCAACTATACCAAATTTTTTTTCTTTTTTGAACTATTAACTTTAAACTATTTTTATTTAGGTGACTTGGGAGAAATGGTTTCAGATTTAAAGTATGGGGAAAATCTAGGTAAAAAATATTAAAAAAAAATCCAAATCTTGAAAAATTATTTTTATTTATTTTAGTTAGTCGGGAATCTGAGGAGAGGAACAATATTGTTAATATTGCCGGAAACAAGATGGATGCTAAGGTACAGTGGTCAGCGTTTAAATCACTACAATACAACGACTTTTCTATTAAAATTTTGATTTCCAATAAGCTTTTTCAAATTACAAGTTTGCAAGTAAACAAAAAGAAGATGTTAAGTGAAAGTTTCTCTTTCAATCCATGCAAATGTACATGCATGCTGTTTGAATATCAAAATTTAAATTAAAAGTATTCTTCATTGTATTGATACATACGACGACGACTTATTCGAATTTAGATAGGAACTTTTGTATCGTTAATCTGTTCAGAGTCCGGTGGATTTGATCAATAAGTCTTAAGTTCTGAGCAATAAGAAGCCACAAAAATCTGCCCTTAATGAGCAATCGCGAAAAAAAGTTAGCTGTTTTTCCACCATGAATATTAAGTTAGATTATTGTTATATTGTAGATTAGAAGTTCCGACCTCCTTCTTGGCTTAATTTCTTCTTTCTGACAAAAATCATCATTTTCTTTATTGTTTCTTTTCCCAAGGTTTTTCTTTCAGAAGATTTAAAGTATTTTTCATAGGTTATGCTAAACACATAGACTTATTGTACATAAAATATCTTTTTCGAAAGGTTAATATTATGTAATGTCACTTTTTTACAAATTGATGATTTTTCATTTGAATATTTCAAAACAATTTTGAAAAATTTACATTTTCAGGAAAAAATATGCTTTCATTCTCATGCTTTAAGGTTGTGAAAGGGATAAAGGTTCGAGGATCTCAGGATTCAAGGTTTGATTCTTAAATACACTATTTTTAAAGAAAAATTTGTGCATCAAAATAAAAACTTTTCAGAGATCTTTCTGTGAGACATGACGGGCTTGGATCCGGATCCTTGGAATATAAACTGAGAAAACTAGCCTCAGGATCCTTCGAACACGGTCGGCATAGATCACATGGTCATTCTAGATCACATGAACATCATTCTCATGAGAGCAGACGGTTCAGCTCAGAGGAATATGGACATTTACTTCACTAATTATTGTTTATATTCATAATTTTGAAACTTCAAATAAAGATTAATTTACAAAATACTTTTTCTTTTTTTTGAACAAAAGAAACAAATATATTTATTTATATTCTGGCGCAAAAATCGATCAGAATTTTAATAAAACAAACGATTTTAAGCTTTCAAATTTGCAGTAAACCAACATTTTTACGCTCTTGTGCAAAAATCTATCAAAATATTGATCGATTTTATTCTAGATGATCACATGAACATCATTCTCATGAGAGCAGACGGAGTTCAGAAGAATATTATTAATTATTGTTTGTATTCCTTATTTGGAATCTTAAAATAAAGAGTAGTTTTAAAAATACTTCTTTATTTATTTAACAAAAAGAAACACAAATATTTACATTATGACGCGAAAATTAATTAGAATTTGATAAAACAAACGATTTTAAGCTTTCAAATTTGCAGTAAACCAAAGTTTGTACGCTCTTGTGCAAAAATCTATCAAAATTTTGATCGATTTTATTCTAGAGGATCACATGAACATCATTCTTATGAGAGCTGACAGAGTTCAGAAGAATATTATTAATTATTGTTTGTATTTCTTATTTGGAATCTTAAAATAAAGAGTAGTTTTAAAAATACTTCTTTATTTATTTAACAAAAAGAAACACAAAAATTTACATTCTGACGCGAAAATCGGTTAGATTTTTAAATAAAACAAACGATTTTAAGCTTTCAAATTTGCATGACCAGGGATACAAAACAGTTTTTTTTGGTAGGACACAGGGAACCAAAATGTGCACGCTCTTGTTAAAATAATCTATCTGAATTATGCCAAGCATTCCTATAAAACGGACGCTAGAAACAAGCTCGTTTTAGTTCTAAATCTAAATGTTATAGGAAAAAATTCATAATATTTTTTTTCTATGTCCATTTGTAGGTATATTAGATACTAGAAAACTTCTTCTGTTACAAGCTGTTAAAACAATTTCTGTAATACAGTAAGACCCATAAAACTGTGGAAAAGGAAGATGACTGTTATACTCAAGATATGATTAATGATTGATCCAATGAACATTAAACTTAAAAACTGTGGCAGTTTTCACAGACTCATTAAAAAATTGATTGAAGCTAATGGCAAAACTTATATATGACATTAGAACAAAATCAAATGATCATAAGATTTCGTAAATGTAGTCTTCCTTTTCCACAGTTTTATGGGACTCACTGCAGAAATTTTTATAAGTTATCTCTTTACATGTAATCTTTGTTTGTCTGTTTGTATGTCCGATCATAACTAATGTAACTCTTTACTGATTTAAATTTTAAAGTTTAAAGTTTAATCTTTAAAAAAACCCAAAACCCTGATTTTATAAGGATGTGTTAAAGTCTATGAAGAAGGTTTTTTAAATTTTAATTTTAGATTCTACACACGCAATTAAGGATTATGCCAACCTATGTGTTTACGATTTAATGAATTAAATTAATCAAAATATTTCTAGTTGATATTTTTTCAAATTATATCAATTACATGTTGTAAAACTAAAAAATCTATTAAAGTTAAAGCTAATTAAAAAAGTTTTTAAACTCTAGTTTTTATCGTATATAACATAAAATATTATAAGAATATATCGTATTACTTTAAACCATTTATCTAAAAATAAACTTAAAAAACGAAGTATGGTTGTATCATTGTAAGATACCGCCTAAAGTTGAACTAAAAGCCTTATTTTTTTCTAATTTTCTAACTGACGGGCTTTTAAAAAAAATAAAGATAAATAAAAAATAAATAAAAACTGTAATCGTTATTTTAAGTAACAACATGGGAGAATAATAAGAAAATTAATCAGTTTTTAATCTTAAATATCTTAAATATTTTTTACAACATTCACCCCAAACTAAACGTTCGGTGCATGCATAGGTTAATAGGGTACCGTTACAAATCAGACATACTTTTTATAGAGGGTCACCAGAAATTTCGCGTACAGTCCCATCAAGCTACAAAAGTATTTCAAGCCTTGACTTTTTTTAAGCTTCAATGCTAATCATCCTTTTTGTCAACGTTAAATCTTTAAACCCTCCTTTATAGTTTGAAGAGTATCAAATTAATTCATTAAAATTAATTGGATAAAATGTGGAATTAGAATATAATTCAGTTAAGCGTAGTATTTACAGTTTAATGATTGGAATCTATATTCTCCTAGTATCCTGCCAGGGTTTACTTGCAAATGTACTCAAGGATGAACTTGGTTTCAACCCAGGTATTTCAACACTTAAAGGGAATGTTGACTAAATTTAATGAGTTAATTGCCCGAATCTTGGCTATTTCTGTTAATCTTAATCTGAGTAATATTGATAAAGATATCGCCATTATTCTATTTGTAAAGAGATTTTTTATATACTTTTCTTTCTCTGTTGCATACATCTGCATGCCAGTTTCATAAAGAAACTACTTTCGAAAATTATCAAGGAAAGGAGTCTTTGCCCCAAACTTAAATTTTATAATCCATATCTTACAAACCTTTGATACTTCAAACTTATATTATTTGATTCATCAGAATTCATATTTTGAAATGTCTAAAGTCTACAGCATAGAGATGCAGTAATTAGAAAATTAGAGTTTGTGACAAATACTCAATTTCATCCAGATTAAAAAACCCGAAAAATGTTGAACTGTTTATTTGAAAGTTTCCGTTCGGAATTGAGCAAGTAAAACACGTGAAATTCACGTGAAATTCACGTGAAATTCACGTGAAATTCAGTCCCTTTAATTCAGAAATGTTATTTTATTATAATTATTTCTTTTTCTACTATTATTATCACTTTTCTTGTTATGATTATTACGACTATTATTGGTATTATCAATATATGTATTTCTTTAACCTGAGCTGGGAAAGATTGCAAAGATATATGGACTAGAAAATTTATGAGTGGCATAGACTTTATTTAAATTTAATTCAAACATTTAGGTGTGAGAAGTGGTGACCCCGGAAACGACATTATCAATGTTGCCGGAAACAAGCTTGATGCAAAGGTAGAAATTTTTGGTCGATCAAAAACATTTTTTTCAAATTCTAAATTTATTAAGGTTGTGAAAGGAGTTAAAATTGAAGGATCGGAAGAAAGACAGTAAGTAAATGTTTTTGTTTTTAAGAAAGTTTTGCAGATTTTCTGCTAAAATAACTAATACAAACAAAAATAATAATATATTTTGATTTGAATAAAGGATCTTTGATATGACTTCTGTCAAATCATAGCTTAAGTTTGAAATATCAATGGTTTAGCACCATCAGGTTGTAAAGCAATAGGAATTCCGTTTTTTATTTATTTAGTGATGTTGATGTTGCCCATCGGGGCGGACTCGGTTCAGGATCTCTAGAATACAAACTCCGAGATCGCCTGGATTCAAGATCGTTTGAGCATGGTCATCATCACTCGCGATCGCACGGATCTCATTCTCATGAGAGCAGGCGGTTCAGCTCCGAGGAGTATAGAAGAATACTGCACTAATTAAAATGCATGAACACATGTTGTAAAATAAAAAAAAAGATTTTACATAAATTCTTCTTGAGAGAACTTAAACAGGATTAGATTTGACAATTTATATCTGGGACCATTTGGGACCATTTGGGACCATTTAGGATCATTTGGGACCATTTGGGACCATGTGGGACCATGTGGGACCATTTAGGACCATTAGGGACCATTTAAGACCATTTGGGACCTTTCTTTGCCACAAATTCGGATTTTCTGAACCCTATATTTTTGCTTCCAAATGTTGTAGACCTTACATATTTCAAACTATGAATTCTGTTGGATCAACTACTTTCTAAGTTTAAAATATCAAAAGTTTAAATCATAAGGTTGCAGAGATATAAGGATTAGAAAATTTGAGTTTGCAACAAAGACTCAATTCTTTTGAATGGATTTAAAGAATAAAGGGATTTGACCTTTAAAATTACAAATTTAGATTATTTATAGTTTGAAATATCCAAGGTCTACGACGTAAAGATGCAGAGATATAGAGATTAGAAAATCAGAGTTTGTGGCAAAAACTTAAATTCCTTGACAAGGAAAATTATTGGAGACTTGTATGTGAACGGTATGGTATATGACAATTCACTTGGGTCTAAATATTTAACATGTACGGTACGCTACGGTACGGTATGGTCAAGGTCAAGTCAGGCCAGTCATGTACGGTACATTAGTCTGACCGGTGTTTTGGTGTAATGGACTAGGGAAGAACAAATCGATTATTAATTTTCAATTTATCTCTGGTAAATGTAATTCTTCATATAATCCAGGGTGTCCCATCATAAAGGAACAGTATCCGTAATTACAAGTGTCATTTCATGCAAAGATGGCAATGTCCGACTTACGACGGTACCCTTGAACCCTTAATCTTATCATTAATGTACACTCCTGAAATATGATTCGAAAAGTGTTTAGTTTTGATAATTTTTCAATTGTTTCTAAAAAGTAAAAAGTACGCAAGTCACTTTTGCAGAGATGAGACAACACTTTTCAGGGTTCCATTGTAAATCAGACATTGTCATTTTTTTACAGCGGGTCACTTGAAATTACGCATACAGTCCCTTAAACAAATTATTTATAAAGATTGTATAAAGGCAAATCAGACTAAACAACTATTGGATGCATAAACAACTGTTACAATTCTGATAATATGCATATTTATTTCTCTACACCCTGTATACTGTCACACAGTTTACAACCATTGGATATAGAACAGAACTTGAGATATGATGAAGATTCAGCAGATCTTATTACAGGGTGTCCCAAAGTACAATTTATGGTTGAAGGGTGGTCCAGACTTTTAGATGTTATAGCTACAGGGTGTTGTTTAATATTTGATCTCGATGCGTCGTGTAACAAAAAACAGGGTGTCCTATAATAAAGAATCTAATTATACAAGGTGTTCCAGAATCTGGATGCAATATGTTCCAGAATCTGGTTACTTTATGCTCCAGAATCTGGTTACAATATGCTCCAGAATCTAGTTAAAATATGCTCCAGAATCTGGTTATCTGGTTACAATATGCTCCAGAATCTGGTTACAATATGCTCCAGAATCTGGTTACAATATGTTCCAGAATCTGGTTACAATATGCTCCAGAACTCAGAATCTTGTGAGAGTTTGTCCCAGCATAATGAATCTTGCTACAGTTTGTCCCCCGTATAATATATATTTTTTAAGTCTCAGAATATGACTAGAAGATGTTTATGTTGGGACTCCCTGTATAATGTACAGAGAGAATAATGGATGATTGGTCATCTACTGTGAGTTCAGCTAAAGTGTCCAAACCACATCATGGTGATATATTATCATACGGGGATAGGGGGGGGGGGCATGTGATAAACCAGGGATAAGGGGACATGATAAACCACATCAGGTCCCAAAATCAGTCTATTCCCTATATCTTCGCAACCAGATGGTGTGAACCTTTCATATTTCAAACTTAGATTAACAATACGATAAAATATGATTCAAACAGTGGGTTGAAAAGATTTAGGCATCAGAAAAGTTTGTGGCGAAAATTCCTAAGATGATATATAAATATTGAAACAATGAAAAAATCAAAAGAAAGGTTTTATAGATATGTTTAGATGAAATTACAAGAATTATGTTGCTATTGATATTTGCAAAGAAACCCATACAGAACAGTATAAGAAACCCATACAGAACAGTATAAGAAACCCATACAGAACAGAATAAGAAACCCATACAGAACAGAATAATAAACCCATACAGAACAGAATATGAAACCCCGTACAGAACAGAATAAGAAACCCATACAGAACAGAGTAAGAAACCCATACAGAACAGAATATGAAACCCGTACAGAACAGACCGGACTACCTATAAAATGTCGATAAGCCAAAGCTCCTCAAGGTTATTCTACCAAACCATTGCTTATTTTTAGCCCTGGATATGAAGATTCATAGACTAAAGATGCAGTATTGTTAAAATCATAAAGATTTGCTCGTGGGAAAACACAATACTATCTATCTATCTATCTATCTATCTATCTATCTATCTTATCTATCTATCTATCTATCTATCTATCTATCTATCTATCTATCTATCTATCTATCTATCTATCTATCTATCTATCTATCTATCTATCTATATATCTGGAGACAAAGAAAGACTATACGTCTGGATGATTCTTTGCCTTTATACAATTCTAAGTTAATTGAATACTTAATCCAATAAAAACAACAAACAAGAGTTTCAAACAATCTTTTCAATTTTCTCTACAGACGCTTATACACACATCAGCACTCAAACACACCCCCATCAGCACACAAACACACACAACAGACGCTTACACACACCCCGAACAGACGTCTACACACATTAACTTACAAACAAACACACACAACATCAACAAACAAATGATTACCTTTAAAAATATATGTACTTAATGTTGTTGCACAATTGCTGTAAATGTAATATGCATTAGACTCTTTAAACTCATAATTTGAGTCTAAATGGTGTCGTCCTATGCCACAGTTTTACTAATGTCAAATGTAAACGCCGCGGTGTCTATATGAAGTATTGCGTGACATATATCTAACACAAAGGTTTGAGCTGTACCATAAAGAATCTCAACATATATCCTGAATAAAAACAAACTTCAAGCAAAAAGTTAAAACCGAAAACTAACACACCCTTTACACACCTTTTTTGCTCTCGTAAAAGATGTTAATCATAACCGGGGTTTGGCGAGGGGATGTTTTTGCGCCAATAATACTTGTAAACCCTGAGATGGATTGTATTGGTTGGAGCCAGGTTTGGTCAGATATATATCCAGTGTATAGTAAGATATAAAGGTAAAGGTATACTCACGTCATTCTAACGACATCGATTTTACATCGATATTTTCAGTTAAATTTTCATCTCTAATTCATTTGTCAAAAACCATGATGTTAAACTTCAATTTTCGGGTTTAAAGTTAATTCTCTTTAAAATCATATATCCACAAAATGGTGAAAAAGATCAGGTCGCTAGTTCCAAAAAGACGAATCTTTCTTGTTCGCCTTGTAGAAATCCACCAATCAGGTTGGAAAAGAAAAAGTTACAGAGAAAGGTTTTAAAGGCACCGTCGTGATTCATTTATGAGACTCTTTTAAACATTGTTTGATATTATTAAATCGTTAACAATCCCTTTAATTTCTATAATTCTATCTAGTGAGATCATAATATTTAAAGGGACTGTCAGCGTAACTTCAAGTGACCCTCCAATGCCCAATTCACAACAGTTCCCTTATAAGCTTTGTCTGATCAAGTGATCAATTAGTTATCAACGTTATTTATTGATCATGTAAAGGTTTCAAGGGTACCGTTGTAAATCGGGCATTGTCATCTTTCCATGGAGAATCACTTGAAATTACGGTTACAGTCGACCCTTTAAGGTTTGAAATTTAAAGGATAACAAAACTCTAACACTTCTGCAAGGTTGAGGAGAGAAGACACAATTTAGCATTTTTCCACCATCAATTTGTCAACCAGGGCAGAAGGAAGGATTTAAATTTGAAATTTTATGAAAAATATATCCTATCCTATCCTATCCTATCCTATCCTATCCTATCCTATCCTATCCTATCCTATCCTATCCTATCCTATCCTATCCTATCCTATCCTATCCTAACCTATCCTAACCTATCCTAACCTATCCTATCCTATCCAACCCTATCCTAACGTAACCCATTCTATCGTATCCTATCCTATCCTATCCAACCCTATCCTAACGTAACCCATTCTATCCTATCCTATCCTATCCTATCCTATCCTATCCTATCCTATCCTATCCTATCCTATCCTGTGATATAATATATCCCATGATATCCCCCTCTGGAGATGTAATTCTGATATCTCTAATTTTATTTCCTGAATCTCCTGTACCTCACATCCTCTCTCTCCCTACACTGTGGTTTAATATCATTTTGACACTTGAACCCTCAGGGAACAGAAGATCAAATTATCTTTGCTCAAAGATAAAAGAGAAATAATAGAAATAGTATTATTCAAAAATGGAGGGAAAATTCGCAATTTTGATGTGAAGCAGTTTTACTGTTAGTTAACAACGAGAGGGTTCCTCATCGTAATTTCTTTTGAGTAAAGAAACATTATTTATAGCTGAGGCTTTTTTCTACTCCTTAACCTTTGCAATCCAATGCTGCAGACCTTAGATATTTAAAACGTCGAATTCTGTTAGATCAAATAATTAAAGTTTGAAAGGTTTACACCATCAGGTTGCAAAGTTATACTTTGATTTTTTGAGTTTGTGGCAAAGAGTAAATTTCTTGCTCGTGAAACTGTTCAGTGGAAAAATTCTCGTCTGCGGGTTTTCTTTAATCAGAAATATCCCTAAGGAATAGCTGTTAACCCTGAAAACGTTCCCTAAAATTTTTTATACCTGGCTATTTTGAGTTACAAAATTATACTAGTTCCAGAGATAAGAGAGTTACAGAGATCGATTATCAGCTAAAATATGTGATATTTTCTACAGCATGTTTTATTGTGTACAAGTACTGTACGCGACCAATCATGAGAATTTAGGGATATTTAAGGATCTTTTGGATACGAAACACAAAATCTTCAAATGAAGATTGAATTCATAAATGTTATATTTCATGTTTAAAATTGGAGTATTTCTTTAAAAGTTGTAAATTTTAACCCCTAAATGGGTGTTATGTTCAACAAGAAGCCGTGAGATGGAACTCTAAAAACCTATCGTAAAAATGTCGTGCCGGGTCAACTTAGGCCAACGTAGCCCACCTTGTGAAAGGAGACAAGCAGTCTGTGTACTGCGTAGTCTGTGACTAGTTCTATTTAAAGCCAAGAACAAAGACGACATTAAATTCACTATTCAAATTTATATCTCCATAAATTTTTTTTAGTGGGACACCTTTTTATCATAAACATTTTTCTTTTAATTTACAAACAAGAAGGAGGGATGAGGATAAAGAGAAGGGAGGGGGAATATAAACAAAAAATTAAATACCATTTTTCGTCGCCTTTGAATTGGTGTCGACTCAAGAATTTCAAGATACCAGATTTCAATGAACATGATTGCTGACAAGAATTTATCCCCACTTAAAAGGTGGAGAGGGGGAGAAAGAATATTTTTTAAATGCCAACAACATAAAAAAAATTAAAATGAAAAAAGCACTATTTGCTTAAACTCCTATTTTTTTGCTTTCAATTTTATTTTTAATGGTTAATTTTACCAAAAAAAAAACACGATTTTTCATTTTACAACCAGAGTACAGAATAGGTGTGAGTTTGTGAAACTAGATTTATTTATTTTATTTGTATTTTTCCGAATCTGATCACGCCAAGATTAAATTCTTCCAGCCCCAACATCTGACACTATCTCNTTCAGGGGTCTATTGAATATAGAAATGGACATTTTCTAAATGTGTAGCTTAAAACCCAAAATTTGTAAAAATTAAAAAAAAAATAATTTCTTTTGCAAATTAAAATTTTACCCTAACATTTTATAAATCCGAAGACAAAAGAGAAGAAAGAGGGGAAGGTTCTTTCTTTTTTGAATGTTATTGAACTAGAAAATTAACAAACTTAAATTATAAATTGAAATTTCAAACTTTTAAAAATAGTTTTACAAACTTTTAATAGATTCCGACAAGTCTTAATTGAGAGGATAGCTGTATTCTTTTTAAATTAGGGTTTTAAAGTTCAAACAATAATTTATAAGAAATTAGCGTTTACGTTTATTATAGTTATTTTTACTTATTTAATTATTCAGTGTTTAAAAATATTTAATCTCTTATAAACTCACATTTTCTAAAACCATCTTTCAATCACTTATTTTAATATTTTAATATTTTAAAGGGACTTTTAGACGTACGTGTTCGATACACAACGGTACCCTTTAAGTTTTTACCCGAATAAAAATGAGGAATGGGTCATCTTTTTTCTCTAAATTCAGAAGGGTAAAATTCTGTCAATTTCATTCATTGTCTTTGTAAAACAATTTCTTAGGTAAATTTGAAAGAGAACCCACAATTGAAAATAAGAATATTTTATCGGACAAACCTCTCTGGCTCCTTAAAAAAAACATAAATAAATAGATAAATAAAAGAACGATTTCTGTTCTTGGTTTAACTTTGAGTCGCGAATACAGAAAATGCGTAATTTTATAACCACAACCTGCAGGCCGTTCAAAGGTGTTACTTTCTAGTCTGTACATTGACTGTAAACTAAGGTCAAATTTAGGCGACATCACTGGTACACCTTTGTGACCACGTAGTTCCTCTGATTTTAATTTTACGCACAACTATGAAAGATACAAATCTATCCGGTTCCCTAGTGGAATTATTTTTGTTTTTCTCAAAAACTATTGAATACGAGGAGTTTTGTGTGTAAATATATCTATTTTCTACCTTGCTGGTGAATGGGACCTTGGACTCCAAGGCATCGGAGACCGTGACCTCGGGCTCCAGGGCTGGGGTGACCTCGACCTCGGACTCCATGGCTGAGGTGATCTCGACCCAGGGGAGTGAGATTGAGGAGATCTTGCCCCGTGTTGTGGTGACCGCGTCCTGTGCTGTGGTGACTGCGTCCCTTGTTGTGGTGACCGCATCCCGTGCTGTGGTGACCTTGCTGTATGTTGTGGTGAACTTGTTCTATTATGTTGAGGTGGTTGCATGCCGTGCTGTGGTGACCGCAAACCTTGCTGCGGTGACCGTAAACTATGCTGCGGTGACCGTAAACTATGCTGCGGTGATCGCATACTATGAGAGGGTGACCGAATATTGTGGGATGATGACCGGCTTTTCGGACTGTCCAGTAACCAGCTACAATAATCTCAGGGTCAAACTTTTTATGCAGGGTCACCCACAAAGGATGAGACTTCAGAGAAGACTGTACAGAATTTATATGGTCTTTAAACGGTGCAAAATCATTAAAAAGACAATTTTCAAGATAGAACACTAAATTAAAACTGGGAATCGTCATAATTAAAGAGTTTTAGGTCGTCTTTTCAGTCACATTCTTTGTGGATAAACCTGTACCTTTTCCATGGAAGAAATAAAAATTTCATAGAAACCGAACCATTATTTATAATATATATATAAATAACAATTTTCTGATATGGTTGCAACACTACATACATACATAACATCTACTCCAATATTAAAATATAAAAAATATTATGCTGTTTTACAGGTAAGATTGTGTGCGACTGTAGATCTTTTGGTTTTCAATGTACACCAGATACGGCGAAAAAAAAAATTAGCTTGGTCACGATAGATTTACGATTACTGAGAATTAAGAACTACATAATTGTATGATGAATTATTGAATGAGTTACGAGGATAAATGAATGAGTTACAAGGATAAATGAATGAGTTACGAGGATAAATGAATGAGTTACGAGGATAAATGAATGAGTTACGAGGATGAATGAATGAGTTACAAGGATAAATGAGTGAGTTACGAGGATAAATGAATGAGTTACGAGGATAAATGAATGAGTTACGAGGATAAATGAATGAGTTACGAGGATAAATGAATGAGTTACGAGGATAAATGAGTGAGTTACGAGGATAAATGAAAGAAGGATGAATTAATCAAAGAATATGAGGATAAACAAACGATAGGTGGATGAAAGGATGAATGAATGAATGAGAGGATGAGTTTAAGGATGCAGGATAATGAATGCAACAAAAACTTGCAGATCTTGAGATTTCCTGTACGCTTTATGGGCTGACGCCATTCTGCGTCAATGCACACAACACACCAAAATGCGTAGCTTCTTCACCCTACTCCCATAATCGATTATCCCTGGAAGCGTAGTGCGTACACAAATAATTTCAGCGTCACTCTTAATTATAAACGTTAGTTTCGCCTTTCACTTTTATCTATTTTTAGAAATTCAACAAAAATTAACGATTTATACCAAATCTTAATAATTTCACTTTCAATTTAATCACTTTTATAAATGTTTTGTGTTAACCGATATTACCGAAACTTCTTAAAACCTTTAGCGGGAAATCAACATTTCGAGGATGCTTGCTTACAGCCTCGCGGTTCTCAGCTGACTGAATGGTCTAACCATAGATACGTTAAAGATAGATAGATGGATAGATAGATATATAGATAGATAGATAGATAGATAGATAGATAGATATACAGATAGATAGATAGATAGATAGATAGATAGATAGATAGATAGATAGATAGATAGATAGATAGATAGATAGATAGATAGATAGATATAGATTGTTAGATAGACAGATAGAAAGATAGAAAGATTAGCTAGATAGATAGATAGAAAGATAGATAGATAGATATATTATATAGATAGATAGATAGATGGATAGAAAGATTGATAGATATATAAATAGATGAACTAGTGGATGAATACATAAGAGGTCGATAATGTTCTTGAAAGGAAATTTTAGAAAATTGATTCCACTCATAATTCCCCAGGTTAGGAATGATAAAGCCAAGACTACACAATAGATTTCCTCGTAGGTTTCAGAGTAGATAACCTGGTCTTTGTTTCAGAGTAGATAACCTGGTCTAGGTTTTAGAGTAGTCAATTTACAATAAACTAAACTTATGAAGCACTAGAAGAACTTATCTGTTATTTAGTACAATTAATAATAATTTTGATAATTATTATTCATAATAATTTTATATGCATGAAGATAAGAGGCTTACTATGCTGTACATCTACATTATATTCCCCAGCAGTGCAATAATAATAATTATATCAGATCTGAAACTATGATTCATGTAGACACTAGACACAGATAGATTAATGTAGACACTAGACACAGATAGATTCATGTAGACACTAAACACAGATAGATTCATGTAGACACTAAACACAGATAGATTCATGTAGACACTAAACAAGATAGATTCATGTAGACACTAAACCCAGATAGATTCACGGAGACACCAGACACAGATAGATTCATGTAGACACTAAACACAGATAGATTCATGTAGACACTAAACACAGATAGATTCATGTAGACACTAAACAAAGATAGATTCATGTAGACACTAAACCCAGATAGATTCACGGAGACACCAGACACAGATTGATTCATGTAGACAGTCCAGACAGATATATTCATGTAGAAAACTAGACACAGATATATTCATGTAGAAAACTAGACACAGATACATTCATGTAGACAGTAGGCAGAAATATATTTATGTAGACAGTAGACACAGATAGATTCATGTAAACACTATACACAGATATGTAATAAATATCGGAGTAAACCCCAGATTTGTAAACCTTACCATCCCTATATTTATTGCGTGATAACTTCATAACCTAAATACGTTCATGAACTTAACTATGTAAAACCTATCGGTCCTTATCATTATCATGTATTAGGTTTGTTGATTTCTTAGAACTACGTTGATTTGTTTTGACTAAAATTTAATTTAATTACGTAACATGTACCATGAAACCCATAATATACATTAGTTGAACATGATCCAATTTGTCTCATGTACCAGAACAAAGTGCCAGCTCGAGTTGCATATTGAAAGATAGATACAGAGGAACCTTGAGCTCAAGATTGAGTTGTATCTTCATAAAACATATTGAGTAATACATGACTGAGTATAATAGCTGAGAGTCAGCATGAGTTGTATCTGTACAATACGTATTGAGGGATACAAGAGAGTCATATCGGGATTGATACAGACTGAGTATTATAGCTGAAAGTCAGCCTGAGTTGTATCTGTTTAATACATATTGCGGGATACAAGAGTCATATCTGGATTGATACAGACTGAGTATTATAGCTGAGAGTCAGCATGAGTTGTATCTGTACAATACACATTGCGGGATACACGAGAGTCATATCTTATAGCTAAGAGTCAGCCTGAGTTGTATCTGTTTGATACATATTGCGGGATACAAGAGTCATATCTGGATTGATACAGACTGAGTATAATAACTGAGAGTCAGCATGAGTTGTATCTGTTTGATACAAATTGAGGGATACAAGAGTCATATCTGGATTGATACAGACTGAGTATTATAGCTGAGAGTCAGCATGAGTTGTATCTGTACAATACAAATTGCGGGATACACGAGAGTCATATCTTATAGCTAAGAGTCAGCCTGAGTTGTATCTGTTTGATACATATTGCGGGATACAAGAGTCATATCTGGATTGATACAGACTGAGTATAATAACTGAGAGTCAGCATGAGTTGTATCTGTTTGATACAAATTGAGGGATACAAGAGTCATATCTGGATTGATACAGACTGAGTATTATAGCTGAGAGTCAGCATGAGTTGTATCTGTACAATACAAATTGCGGGATACACGAGAGTCATATCTTATAGCTAAGAGTCAGCCTGAGTTGTATCTGTTTGATACATATTGCGGGATACAAGAGTCATATCTGGATTGATACAGACTGAGTATAATAACTGAGAGTCAGCATGAGTTGTATCTGTTTGATACATATTGAGGGATACAAGAGTCATATCTGGATTGATACAGACTGAGTATTATAGCTGAGAGTCAGCATGAGTTGTATCTGTTTGATACATATTGAGGGATACAAGAGTCATATCTGGATTGATACAGACTGAGTATAATAGCTGAGAGTCAGCATGAGTTGTATCTGTACAATACATATTGCGGGATTCACGAGAGTCATATCTGGATTGATACAGACTGAGTATAATAGCTGAGAGTCAGCCTGAGTTGTATCTGTTTGATACATATTGCGGGATACAAGAGTCATATCTGGATTGATACAGACTGAGTATAATAGCTGAGAGTCAGCATGAGTTGTATCTGTACAATACATATTGAGGGATACAAGAGTCATGTCAGGATTGATACAGACTGAGTATAATAGCTGAGAGTCAGCATGAGTTGTATCTGTACAATACACATTGCATGATACACGAGAGTCATATCTTATAGCTAAGAGTCAGCCTGAGTTGTATCTGTTTGATACATATTGAGAGAACTTGTTGGAGTAAGGTATTTGCTACAGATAAATTATACAGAAAGACGCAGATTCGATAGATAGATACACCGTACAAATTTGAATTTCTAAAATGGAATTTAATAAGCTTGATTTTCTCATTCTTGTGTTTAAAGTGTGTAAAAAAGCTGTGTGGTCGCAAAGTTATGCAAATAATTTCCTATCTGCAGTGCAGGGATCTAAACAAGATTAGGCTTAAGGGACGAATATCAGATCCATTCAGGTTTATAAGATCTATAAGATCTAAATAAGATCTATAAGATCTATCAGATCTATCAAACATATCAAATCTATCGGACACATGAGGTCTATCAGACATATCAGATCTATCAAACATATGAGATCTATCATACACATCAGGTCTATTAGACATATCATATCTTTCAGACATATCAGATCTATCAGACATCAGATCTATCAGACATATCAGGCCTATCAGACATATCATAAATATAAGATCTATTAGATATATCAGATCTATCAGACATATCAGATCAATCATATCTATAAGATCTATCAGATCTATAAGATCTATCAGATCTATAAGATCTATCAGATCTATCAGATCTATAAGATCTATCAGATCTATAAGTTCTAAAAGATCTACAAGATCTATTAGATCAATCAGATCAATCAGATTTACAAGATCTATAAGATCTATCAAATCTATAGGATCCATAAAATAAATAGTAGATCTAAAAAATCGCCTTATATAGCAAAGCGTCAAATCTTAAAGATCTATCAAACAAATTTAGACATTGTTTTAACTTCAGCTATTTTATCGTATTATAGATCAAATACTTCAATTTGAATTTAATTTTCAAAATTTTCTTTCTGGAATTGTGTTTTATCCTATAATATTATTTCAAGTGTTCTCTGGTCTATATCTATTGAATGAGTCATATCTCCCCAGAAGTAAATGAAATAACACAGCAAGGTACTGAGAACAGTAGGAGGGGAGGAATATATATATCATATCATATACTGGTAGAGTGTAGAGTATACCACAACAATGATTTACATCATATGGATAATGTTTATTTAGATTTAACTTTATATGTATATCTGTAAAAAAAGAACACTCTCATCCCTCTTTTCAACTGTATTCAGCTATTTAACATCAAAACATGTCGCATATTTTATTTTCATTTTGTTTGCAGTTTTTCATATTTTTAGATTCAAGAATCAAGGTTAGGAATTTGTTTCGCAGCTAGCGTTGCCCTAGTTTATACAAAGTTGATACCGTGCTGAACTTCGTTGGATCGAACCGTAAGTACCCCTACTCTGCTCTTTCTCATGATGAATAAAACAAAGGAAAGGGCTTCGAACTTTATTGAGGTATAGCTGCTTCATTCTGACATAAAATAAAATCCGATTTAGTTTCATAAAAAAGCATTGATGAGTATATTACGAACTAATTTTCAGAGAACAAAAGACATTATACCCATCAGGCATTAAAAAACTATGAACCGCCCATATTTTATCATACATATATCCAATACAAAAAACAAAAAGTTATTTTGATATTCACGAACACACTTTATCACGTATATATCCAATACAAAGAATAAAAAAGTTATTTTAATATTTAAAAACATATTTACCACAGTTATCCGCAGTCCTTCAGCACAAAATAATCACAAGAAACATTCTATATAACTAAATCTAAGTCCGGTAAATATACTAAAAACTGTAAAGAGAACACAAATCCATTGCGTCTGTGCAGTACGCAAATATTGTTGATAGAAAACAGGATCGTTGTCTCCAACTCCTTCTAGAAAACGCTTGTACAGAACATCCACACAGTACAGGGGATAATAGGTCCTTCCCAGAGAACAGGGATATTTCACAGACTCTGAATACGCTGCGTGTGCAAGCGTAACAGAATTAATTATTGTTAATTAAAAAAGGATTACCAAGAACATTGAGATCATAAACTGCAAAATTTAAACCAAGGTCCAGAAACAAGAATTAGGCAAATAAATAAAAAGATTTGTTGGATCTATTACTCATGTCATATTTAAGTAAATTTTATGTTCAGCTGAAATTTTAAATGTTTAAATCTTAGCTTTTCTTAGTTGAAGGTATTGAGAAAAAGAATTGTTTTTACATTTCTAACTACCTACAAACGGCTTATGTAAGTTTCATTATTTTTTATTAAATCAAAACCTAGGTCACAAAGTCGTAATTGTGCATAAAGGAACTGAGTTTTTGCTACAATACTCAAATTTTCTAATCCTTATATATTTGCAACCTGATATTGGAACTCTTTGATATTTCAAAATTGACTAATTGATAAAACAAAATACATAGTTTATAATGTAAAAGGTCTACGCCATGGGGTTGTAAAGATGAATTAGTTATAAAATCAAAGTGTGTGACGAAAATTGAGTTCTTTTGACCTTAATATTGAGTGTAGAAAGTATAAATGACAACAATTTACTTCCAAAGTTTTTAGGAAAACTTCTTGTTCAATAAAAACGTTGTGACTAAACAAAGATACCAATGAAGGTTAATCTTGTAGTAAACTGTAGAAAAGGAAAACGACATTAAAGAAATACTGAAATGCATTTGATGTTTTTACAAAGCAAATAGTTTAAATAGTAAGTTATAAAATCAATTATTAAGTGAAATGAGTCTGGTAACACTGCACAATTGCTGTGCATGTTAATTGGCTATATATATCATAACTTGAATCTAAAAGTCGAGTTTCTATTCCAGGTTTTTCTGTTTCTCACTGCAAGTTAATTAAGTTTGTCGAGAAAAAATGTTTGGGCAGACTACAGATAAGATGAGACTTCAGAGACGACTGTACGGAAGTTAATCGATCTTTTATCTTACATTCCAGCTTCCCCTCAACTTAAACTTAGGTCTTTCATTGGCAAATCATTTAGCAGTTCAATAAAAGAATATTTTTATGGTTTAAAGCCAAATAAAATCATCAGATTGTTGCTGTAGGTCGTCATTAAACCTGTATATATCTATACAATACATACAATTATATTAAGAATTCGTAAACAACTTTTTAAGGATTTAATATAAGCAATGGTAAATATTTGGATATATAAATAGTATTTCCTAATTGGATTTTCATTCAGATGTCTTAATTAATAGTTAGTTGACGAACAAGTAATAAACAATAACACGGCTTCCAATAATAATTAATTTATGTAATATTCTATACATTATAAATATATATAAAGGGTGTACCAAGAAACATTACAGTTGGTTAATAGTTTTTAATGTCTTCTTCCATATAATGTTATAGTTTAAAGAATTTTTGAAGTTTATTTCATTAAAATTTTTTTTTTATTCCGTTAAATAATTTTTTCTAAAATATTACTGCTATAAAATATTTTTTATTATTTTCTTTGGTATAAATTATGAAAGAAGACATGTTTCGTGGGACACCCTGTATTTATCAATACACATTCTTCATAACAAACTTATAATAACGATTTGAAATAATATTCTTAATATCTTTCAGTTCAGTTGTTTAAATAATAAGTTATTGCCATGTCATTTCTTTTATTGTTTGTTTGAAGTAGATAAAAATAAGCGCGACATTATCAGATATTCTTACAGTTTTTACGAATAATTTAGTGAACATTTTCAGTGAATTCTGCATTCAAATTGGTTTCTCTTTTGTGATATCAACATAATTAGTTACATAAAACAAACCATACATTATTGACAAAACATACTTTTCAAGCACAATTCCTAAACCAAATGATTCCGTAGTTCTCACTTTTATACTTAATGGTGACCGACAATGTTTGGTAGTTGAACTGAGAATGTAGTATTGTAGAGACATTTTTTAGGTTTCATTTGAGACATATAAAAAGTTTTAATTTACACTTCATCTAAAGGGGGGCATGTCCGAATTACAAACTTACCCTTAAAACCTTTATCTGCTCGTTTTTGTAATTTGAAGTGTTGAATTCTAATAATTCTTCCATGGGTTTCCTGTAGTAGAAAGTCATTATTGTCGATAAACCAAAATTAAAATTATACACATGAATAATGAATATCTAATTCGTACTTAGCCAGAAAAAGACTTTAGGTACCGTTGTGCATCAGACATAATACTCTCTCAATGGAAAGTGAATTTAAATAACGCTTACAGTGTGAAGATTATATATTTACTGATATTTTAGGATATAAATATATTACAGATTCTATAAATATGTTGAGAATTAAGCATGAAGATCTTCTCTTGTTCCTGGTTCTGATCAGACTCGCTCCTGGATTCTCTTTTCATCCTCCCCGGATTTTATCCTTCCATCTCAAACGAATTCTTGGTTTGTGATCTCTACAACAGACCCTTTTTGCGTAATAATGGCATTCTGGACTTGTAACTCCCTCTAAAGGTAAACAATTATTTTAACCATTTTTAGCAAAAAGAATTGGCACAAGTGAATTCATGATTCAATTCAATTACAATATAGTTATATTTGATCCCATGTTCCTAGTTCCAGACTCCAATCCAAAAATAGTTGTTAAGTTATACATACTTTAATGGGACTGCATATGATAATTCATTAGATAAAAGAAACGATTTTAAATATTGTACACTTGGACAATTGGAACTGAAGCAGTTTTCAATAGATGTACACAAAAAGATCTCGATGACAGTGGAAAAAATGTTTCAGGGTATGATTGTGAATCGGGCATTGACCTCCTTGCATGTAGGGTCACTTGAAATTACGCTTTTAAAAATTTGATAATGTTTTCGACACACTTGTTAGTAAACAAAAACAAAACAGTTGTATCTTGTCTTCAGATCCGTTTTGATTCACTCCCAAGCAAATATCAATTTGTTTTATTCTTTGTTTTGTTTTTAATCCTGGATTTCAATTGATAAGTTCAAAGTTTAGTATTTGAACAATGTCAAGTTCCGTTTCAAACATCGGCATCTCTTTCTCCACTTTGAGGCCTAAGACCGATTTCCCTCAACAGATTTCCAGGTTTTTGCTTTCTCAAACCCGTTTATTCCAAGCTGATAGTCCCTAAATAGAATAAACATGATATCATAAAACATACATACCATATTCAAACCTGAACCCTGCTCTTACTTAGCTGAACCCTGCTTTAACCTGAAACTTGCTCTATCTTAAACCCTGATCTATCCAGAACCCTGCTCTATCCTGAACCCTGCTCTATCCTGAACCCTGCCCTATCCTGAACCCTGCTCTATCCTTAACCCTGCTCTATCTTTAACCCTGCTCTATCCTGAACTCTGCTCTATCCTGAACCCTGCTCTGTCCTGAACCCTGCTCTATCCTGAACCCTGCAAGGCTGATATGTCTTGAACCCTGCTCTGTCCTGAACCTTGCTCTGTTCTGAACCCTGCTCTATCCTGAACCCTGCTGTAACTTGTACCCTCCTATAACCTGAACTCTTCTCTATCCTTAGACCATAGCCCTGCTCTATCCTAAACCCAGCTGAAACCTGAACCCTACACTGTCTTTTAACCCTGCTCTATCTTTAACCCTGCTCTATTCTGAACTCAGCTCTATCCTAAACCCTGCTCTATCCTAGACCCTGCTCTAATCCAAACCCTGCTCTAACCTAAACCCTGCTCTATCCTAAACCCTGTTCTATCCTTAAGCCAGCTCTAATCTTAACCCTGCTCTAACCTGAACCCTGCTCTATCCTGAACCCTGCTCTAATCTTAACCCTGATCTAACCTGAACCCAGCTATATCCTGAACCCTGCTCTATCCTAAGCCCTGCTCTAATCTTAAGCCTACTCTAACCTGAACCCTGCTCTATCCTGAACCCTGCTCAGTCCTAAACCCTGCTCTAACCTAAAACTACAGATTAACCTAAAACTATCCTGAACCCTGCTCTAACCTGAACCCTGCTCCAGCCTGAACCCTGCTCCAACCTGAACCCTGCATTAATCTGAACCCTGCTCCAACCTGAACCTTGCTCTAATCTGGACCCTGATCTAACCTAAAACTATAGATTAACCTAAAACTATCCTGAGCCCTGCTCTAACCTGAACCCTGCTCAAACCTGAACCCTGCTCCAACCTGAACCCTGCTCTAATCTGGATCCTGCTCTAATCTGAACCCTGCTCTAACCTGAACCCTGCTTCAACCTGAACCCTGCTCCAACCTGAACCCTGCTCTAATCTGGATCCTGCTCTAATCTGAACCCTGCTCTAACCTAAACCCTGCTCCAATCTTAACCCTGCTCTAATCTGCACCCTGCTCTATCCTGAACCCTGCTCTATTCTGAACCCTGCTCTATTCTGAACCCTGCTCTAATCTGAACCATGCACTAATCTGGACCCTGCTTCGACCTGAACCCTGCTCTAATCTGAATCCTACTCTAACCTAAAACTACAGATTAACCAAAAAATACAGATTAACCTAAAATTATCCTGAACCCTGCTCTACCCTGAACCCTGCTCTATCCTGAACCCTGCTCTATCCTGAACCCTGCTCTAACCAAAAACTACAGATTAACCTAAAACTAACCTGAAAGCTTGCTGTAGTTCCTCCTCAGTGTTCATAACAAAAGGACCGTGTTGTTTGATTGCTTCTCCTAAAGTACGAAGTTGGAATTAAAAAATAACATAGCTTTTATAGTTAAACATGTCCGATTCACAGCGTTACCCTTTAAAACTTTGTCTAGACGAAAACGATAGAGTTATACGTGTTTTTCTTTCTAAAATTTGATTACTTTTAATGACGGTTTAGATTGAAAGCTCTTTAAAGAAAAAATTAGAAAAAGTTAGAGAATTTAAATCTTTTCATGACTAAAAACCGACGATAGCTTTCTTATTGTTGATTTGAAAAAAGGCCAAAGTGTGCTATTGTTAATCGCGCATGTAAAACTTAAAATCGAGTATCAATTAGAATTGTGTCGACACTACAGGTAAAAAACAGGGGTCATATAATTCCATTTCTGATCCCAAATGTAATCGGGGTTGAAAGTACATTCAGGGGCATAAAAATACACTTTCTCTGTCATTGTGAACTTTGGCAAATTTTTTGTGCAAGATTAATCTTCTGCACTATGAGATGTTTCATACTTCCAATTGTGGATCGTATTTAGATGGAATTATATGCACCCCTGGTATTCCTGGTATAAAATTACCAATTGGTTGACCAGCTATGAGAACTAGACGAGAAGAATTGTGAGAGGACGGATTACTCAGAAGAACCTGGTCCCCATCCCTACCAAACACTACAGTATGATGAGCTCCAATAGATCCACCGCTCCCAAAATTCATTTCACCCTGCAATAACAGTATATACAAGCTTGGGAACCCAGCGTTGCTCCAAAGTCCAGGGTACTCATAGTTAATCTCGCCTATTACCCGTACTTCGTCAATTTTAACAAGAAACTAAATTTTCGCTTTTATTGTAGACCTAACTAAGAATCTCATAACCAAACTAAGAACATTCCCGTGGTTCTCCCGAGTTCCCCAATAAAAAATATAAATCGGTCCATGGGTTCATGAGTTATGATCGGACAAACAAACAGACTTCCAAACAAATATTACAACTTTTATGTATAGATGATTAAGTTTGACAAAAATATCTTTTTTTTAAACATAGTTACTAGTTCCATATTTAGGATTGTCAAGGTTTTTAAAATAAACCTTTATAAAAATATGCTTTAAGCAATTCACAACAGTATGATATAAACATGATCTGGAACAGAATTGTAATATATAATTATTGTCTTTTTTTTTACTAGAATGGAATCCCAGTCTTGGAATCCAAGGTTGGAAAGTTGCTGCCTCATTTTTTATTTTAAAGAACAAATCCATTTACGATACATTGTTATGTAATATGTATTCTACCCTTTGAAGGAAATAATGATAACGTGTATTTCACCTCCAGTTAGTTATACTTAAAATACCTTGAAAAAACACTCAGAATATAAAACACAAGGCTTTCAGGATGCGTCGAGCCCTCTTCTAGTAACAATTTTAGCGTCAAAATGTTGCTTTTCAAACCGCCTTTCTCATCGTTCTCCAATAATCACACATTTTGCATTTTTTTCCGTGCTAAATTATTCAATTTTTTTCCAGCCATAAACCTGCTCTGGGGGTTATGTAAGATGCCACGAGCAAAGTATATACAAGGGTCTAGATAGAATTAAATATAATGAATTGTGAATTATACCTCCAATATGTATGCGAATCGTTTATGATCGGGTTAAGAAAAAATTCAATAAAACTTTAAAGATTTCAAAACTATATTATGTTAACCCTAAACAGGCTGTGGGGCAACTCATCGTGAAATTTTATGACTTATAATGAAAAGTAATTTAAAGGATTTTTTGTAATTTTTTTTTAATGCATAGGGTTTGGTACAAGGTGGAAAAAAGTCCGGTCTTGGAAAAAAATCTAATATAGTCCATAACTGTTTTGTGACTAAAGCTTATCTAAAAATATATTTTTGAAAAACCATTTAATTTTTTTTTTCATTTTTCTGACCCCTTTTTTGGCGTTTTTTTCAACCCTCCCTAGCACCCAAACTATTAAAGTTATCGGTCTAATTTTTCTAAGTGACCCGCAATTGGCAAATTGGGCTATGCACATGCACTTCAACACTATACCTATTCTATTAGACATTTTTCTAGGGGGGGGGGGCAAACGCCCCCTCCCAGGCTATACATAGATGCAGACCTCCCAGCCTTTATAGGGTTAAAGTTTGCTTTTATTAAACTCTTCAATAACGATCCAAAAACGATAGTTACAACATGTTCGTTTTTTCATTGTTTTAGCATCGTTTTTGTTTCGTTTTTTAATATATCTTCTGCGAGGATCAAATTTTGACTTTTGATATGACTTAAAGAATTGTTAATGATTAGAATAAAAAATAGAAAATATTTGCTATTCTTATATTATACGGTATGCCAAATTTTGACCCTGCAGGCACATCCCTACCTCTAATATGTATGCGAATGCCGTCCACCCTGCAGGAACAGCCTGAGCATATTGACTGTCAGGTTCTAAGCTGAAGTCCAGGTATAAAGATGGAGTTCTGGTGAATACAGGAGATTTTACATCCATAGATTCTCCGGCCAGTATCTTTACACTCACACCATTCATCGCAGCAGAGGGTATTTCAGCAGCACACAGTTCCTGTAGTATATATAACACATATTCAGTGCTTAGCTCCCTAGATCCGGATCCATTGGATCCAAAACAATTTTAATCCCTGTATCAAGGGACCGAATTTAATGAATTTGAGCTAGGTCGTTGAACTGCCTAACTCTGGTTCAAATTCTGAATTCCCAATTCAAAGTTAAAGAATAATGAGGATGTTAATCGGTGTTCCATCACTTAAAGGTAGTTGAGCAACATCTCAAATTCATTAAATCTAAGTGGTAAAATATCAACCAAAAATCATTGAATTGTAAATAAAGATTTAATATAATCAAGAAGAACCTTTCGGAATTTCTTTTGGTGGTGAAAGAAATGAGCAAAAATGGTTCAACCATTCTATATTGTTTTGCTAGATTGACCCATAGCTGTACACCTTGATATATCTACCTGATACGCTGGTTCAACCATTTTATATTGTTTTGCTAGATTGACCTACAGCTGTAAACCGTGCTATATCTACCTGATACGCTGGTTCAACCATTTTATATTGTTTTGCTAGATTGACCTACAGCTGTAAACCGTGCTATATCTACCTGATACGCTGGTTCAACCATTTTATATTGTTTTGCTAGATTGACCTACAGCTGTAAACCGTGCTATATCTACCTGATACGCTGGTTCAACCATTTTATATTGTTTTGCTAGATTGACCTACAGCTGTAAACCGTGCTATATCTACCTNTAACATTTACCATCTGACAATCAATATAATCTAATTTGCAAATTTCATAATTATTACATAATATTAAAACAAGCACACAAATACCAGGCATTTCACTGTGTACAATTCCTTTTCCTGCCGTCATCCATTGAACATCACCAGCACGAATTATTCCCTACAAATATACTTTTTCAAATAAAAAATAAAAAAATCTTTACTATTTCAGAAATTGTACTAATTATTTACAATTACTTATATAACCACGGGTTCCCAAGACCAATTTTGCTGCCCTGCGCTTTAATGTTTTGTTGCCAAAATTGGTCGAGGGAACCCGTGGTTAATAACATTCTTAACTTCCCAAAAAAGTAGTTTTACACAATTTTTATTATCTTTTTAGATGAAAATGCACCAATTTTTAAGACAAATTTTTCCAAGGGAGGAAATAACTTAACGCCCCTATGTTAGTGGAAACATATAGGTCGGTAAAAGTTTGAATGTTTCCTTTCAATCCAATATTCATTACTTTCTGGAACCTCTATTAGTCTAGTGGGATAAACATTTTTACTTTCCAGAAGGGGGGTCTCAGAACCTGAAACCTCCATGGAAACTAAAGAGTTTACTAATCCAGGGGGCAGTGTATACTGTATACGCCTTACATATTAAGAAAGAGACTAACAAAAAAATTGGAAGAGAGTGTTCGTTAAAACAAAAGTTATTTTTCAATCAAAACTGGTAGGAGGTGCAGACTTAATCATAGTTTAAAAATGAAATGACCATTTACATATTTAATATTGTTAAGTCAACAATCGTCAAGTAGTAAAAACTACATACAATTTCTATCATAAATCCATTTAAAGAAACTGGGTTTTTGCAACAAATTAAAATTTTCTAATCCTTATATCTTCGCAACCTGATAGTTTTCAGTACACCATATTAGAAACTTGGACTGATCTGACAGAATTCATAGTTTGAAATATCCATGAGATGAGAAAATTCAGAGTTTGTGACAAAGACTCAATTAGTTTGTTTAATTCTTCTGGAAAATGAAACCTTGTGTCCGGCAAAATCTTCATGATGGAATTCTCCTTCTAACAGATAGCTAACGGTTTCAAACCCTCTGAAACAAACAGTTATAGAAACAGCTTTAAAAAGAATTCTGGTGGGGGGGAGGGGATGTCAGAAAGTTTTAATAAAAATGATTTTTTAATTTTATTTTATTTAATGGGAGAAAAATTGATTTCTAACGAAGGAGGAGGCGGGCCAGAAATTTCATTCTGGGAAGAGGGGGGAAGGCAATTGACTAACAAAAAACTCTGATACTNGGGGGAAGTCGGAAAGTTTAAATTTACATGATGTTGATTTAATTCTTGTTATTTTTTTTTATCTTCAAAATAGTTAAAATGGATCGGGAGATGGAATCAAAATATTTGTTTTTACAAGAAAACTTTATTTTTTTGCGAAGCACTACACTGTAAGAAAAAATTGGTTTCTTAGTCAGAGCGAAGGAGGATGTGGACCTGATATTACATTCTGGGATTATGTAAATTCATTTTTTTAAATAAAAAAATGTATATTGTTAACTTTCCCACTCCATTTCATATCGACAATCAGAAACGGAAATATCTTTGTAAAATAAAATCTTAATAATATTTCTTAATCCACTCTTAAACTTGGTATTGCACTTATCTAAAAATTGTGACGATATTAGATGTATAAAAATAGGTTAAAATTATTTTTATCGAAAATGAAAATCCTTCACTAAAACTATACAGTAGAAAATTAGAAGCAATATTTATATAAGAAATATTTGAAATAATCCAAATTCATTCAGTAATTAACGAATTTAAAACAGATTAATTGGGAAGTAGATTTTTCAATTTTCACAGAACATGTTGATACATCCGGGAATTAAAAGGTGCGTCTCGAACCGCTTAAAACCGTCCATTTAGCTTTTTGTTTTAAAATTTTGTGTTTTATGGGCAAATAATTTTCAAAATACCGAGTTTTTTGCTTATAATTTGTTTTATTTTCAAGAGTTTTTTAAAATTTGAACGTTTTTGAACTCAGTGATCTAATACGGATATTTTAAAACGCATCTCAGTTTATTTGACGTTTTTATCTTGCTTACATTATTGTTTAGATCTTCACAAAAAAAAAATCGGAATGAGATCGAAAATTAAAATTTTTTTATTGTATCAAAGAAAAATTTAGAACTGTTTCAAGATGGGTTTGAGAAAATTAAGTTTATTTCATCAATTAAAATCATAATTTTATTATTATAATATGTGTAGTGTTGTTAATCGTTTTGTTTCATTTTTAGAAAAAAAATAATAAACCTTGCAAGGTTTCAAAACTTGTATTTTGTTAAAGTTTTCTTTTATAAATCTTTGCAATATCTTTATCTCAAAAAAATGGAAATAAAACAAAAATCCATTTTTACACCACATTTGTTTTTGTGTCGTTTTTTAATCTTTTGTCGGGGACAATTTTGACATATGTGCAAGATAAGCATGATGTTAAGAATAAACAATTTTTAAAAATCTCCTCTTACAATATGCCAAAATTTTGACCCTGAAAGAAAATAAAGGACATAAAATTGGACCAATTATGCCTATTGTATTTATCGTTTATTAAAATACCTTAAAAAATTGTCAACAAAAATACCTATGAGGATGATCTGGGAACCCTGCTCCATCTTCTCCACTTCCCTCAAACTCATCCAACATCAAGAATGGATCCAGGTTCCTAGTTCAGTATTCTTAAAGGAAAAGCTCTACTTGTCTACTTGTCTTTGCGAATCTACTGGTCTAGTGGTCTACAGGTCTAGTGGTCTACAGGTCTAGTGTTGTACACTGTACAGGTCTAGAGTTCTACAGGTCTAGTGGTCTACAGGTCTAGGGGTATACAGGTCTAGTGGTCTACAGGTCTAGTGGTCAACAGGTCTAGTGGTCAACAGGTCTAGTGGTCAACAGGTTTACTTGTCTACAGGCCTACAGGTCTACAGGTCTAATGGTCTACATGTCTAGTTTTCTACAGGTCTACTGGTCTACAGGTTTACTGGTCTACGGGTCTATTGGTCTACAGGTCTACAGGTCTAGTGTTCTAAAGGTCTATTGGTCTACAGGTCTAGTGGTCTACAGGTCCAGTGGTCTAAAGGTCTAGTGGTCTACAGGTCTAGTGGTCAACAGGTCTAATGGTCCACAGGTCTTGTGGTCTACAGGTCTAGTGGTCTACAAGTCTATAGTGGTCTACAAGTCTATAGTGGTCTAGTGGTCATACAGGTCTGGTGGTCTACAGGTCTAGTGATCTACAGGTCTAGTGGTTTATAGGTCTACTTGACTACTTATCTACTGGTCTACAGGTCTTTGAATATATGGACTGAGCCGGGTCAAGTTCCCACATACGCACCCGGTCACCTTTTTTTTACATGCCGGTAGATTACATTCATAACATGTAAGTTTATGATTTCGAATATATTAAATTAAAACATTTTTGATACCTCAGCTCTGGTCGTCCTATGCTTCGTCTGACCCTGGCCCCTCTTCCCTCGTTCTGCCATTTACTAAGTATAACCTGTTCTACAGATCGTCTAATCATCTTCAAATCACAAATTTAAACTGCAGAGGTTTGCTAGTTAATCACAATTCTGGAAGGAATTCATAATATTTACCTGTACACATTTTGACCAATGAGAGAAAGGTAGAACGAAAATTGGACCAATCACATCTAAGGTTAATCGGTACATACGGAACGTATTCTGTGAACTTAACAGTTTGGTTTTGTTTGTGATGTTATTATTTATTTTAAACTTTTCTTATCTCATTGAAAAGACAAAAATGGTTCGATATTCGATTGATTGCACGTGTCAGGATTCATTTCAATAATTTTTAATAAATATAAGGATGATGATGATAACATTTTTACAGTTTTAAATGTCGTCTTTTACGAAATTATTTCGAACAATTCTGTAAGGTCACCATGATGATTTCTGTTACAAAAGTTGGGCTTAAAGTTATTTATAAGTACACATATTACTGGCCTATAAGCATGATCGTCAATAGATCTTGACCCTTAAGAAAATTGTATAAATAATTTATTAACGCTTGTAATATGGAAGTGTGTATATGATCGAATAGTTTACTTAGTTAAAAAAAGGTATCAATATTTTTTCAAAAAAGGGGTTTTCAATCATAACTTCTCTTATTGCCAAGCTCTTGAGAAGAACTAAATTGTGTTGAATGTTTAATATGTAACCAGGTAAATTTGCTTTTCTCCTACAATTGTGCGTAAAAAGAAAACTAGAGAAGGTACAGTGAAACCCTTAATAACGAAGACATCGAAATAATTCATCAAATGTCGTATTCTTCACTTTCTGATGATGGAATGTTGCAGATATTTAGTTTTTTAATCAAATGATTATATGGAAATCTTTAAAACTGTTCTCGCATATTCATGGCTATTTATTTATTTTTGCAAATACTGAAATTTACGTAATATAGTATAAAAAATTCATTGAAAAATTGTCAATACGACATTTGATAAATTCTTCCAAAGTATTCATTATTAAGGGTTTCACTGTATCAGGTCACAAAGTTGTACCAGTCATGTTGCATAAATTTGACCTTCTCCTTCTGTCTAGTTTGCAGTGTTGTCTTTCAGCATTTTTCACGTTTTTGGTGTGAAGGCTTAAAGAAACTTCATATATGTTAAAAGGTTAAACTAGTTAAACCCTAAATGAGCCATACATCGAAAGAATTTATCAAATGTCGTCTTGACAATGTTTCAATGGGTTTTATACTATTTTACGTAAACCTCAGTATTTGCAAAAATAAGTTAATAGCCATGAATATGCGGGAACAGTTTTAAAGAGCTCCATATAAACATTTAAAAATTAAATATCTGCAATTTTCCATTGCAATTTTCCATTATCAGAATGTGAAGAACACGACATTTAATAAATTCGTTCGATGTATGGCTTATTTTGGGTTTAACTGTATTACGTACATACATCTTATTTACACATTTTATTAGAATTCATTACAATTTAATGATTAAATACTTTATATTTAGCTTTATAGACAGGGTATCCCGTTAAACATGTAAATTAAGACGACATTTGATAGAAAAAAAATTGTGAACGCCAAAACGAGATCTAGATTTTGTGTATCTTAAAATTAACGTTGATCCTGTAGATATATTTCGACAATTTAGATTTTTTACCCCCAATTAAAGAAAAGTTAGAGCATAAAGAATAAAGCATAATATTTTTTAAACAGGATGAAAAAATTATTCCAAGAATATAAAAAAACACGGGGAGCCTCAAAAGTGATGCCACTTTTTGTAAAACATTTTAGGAAAGACAAAAGTAATAATTTAAATAAGCCTCTTTTTGAGCTATAGAATATGGCAAAATGTAAAAATTATGTAAAAATCTAAGTAAATTCCTAAAATAAATCAAATTTTTTTGAATAAGTAACGAGTTAAGGGAAGTTTTTAAAGTGATATAATTATACATTTTTGATAATGGCAGAGAGATGATTTTAATATCAGAGTCAGGCCAGTTATAGTTATGATTTTGGGAATGAGGTCAAATATTTTAAATATCTACAACTATCAAATTTGTTATATCAGCCCAAAGTTAATCAGCAGATAATAATTAAATCTTTTTTTCATTTTACACAATTTGTCTCTAAGCATCAAGATATGGTTAAATTTGGCCAGCAAGTTTGTCAAAGAGTAAACAAATAGAATATAGAGCGTTAACATAATAAATATTAGTGAAATATGTTTATTATGTGATCATAACCAGGGATGTTAACGTTTTCATTTTAAAAAAAACGATCGTTTCGTTATGAAAACGACAACGAAAAATCGAAAACGAAGCGATCGTTTTTAAAAACGATCGTTTTTTAAAAAGTTCGTTATTTAAAAACTATCGTTCTTATAAAACTCGTCGATCGTTAACTATGACCCTTCGTTAACGATAGTTGACGACGACCTTTCGTTAACGATCGTTAACGACGACCCTTCGTTATTGAAGAGAGTAAACAATCGTTTTTTCAAAAGCGATCGTTTTTTAAAAACAATCGTATAAACAATCGCAAATCGTTTTCATAAAACGATCATTTTCAAAAATGATCGTTATTCGTTTTCTAAAAGTTCAAAACTAGGTCGTTTTTAAAAACTATCGTTTTATCCGAAAAAGAAACGATCGTTTTTGAAAACGATTGAAAAACGAAACAAAAAACGATTAACAACCCTAAATTTGCAATCTCTCGCTTTCAGATGTTTCTCCCTAATCAAAAGATATTTTTCTATTTTATTTTTACTTTTTACATTTGCTAAATTAAAAACTGAGTGACTCAATTTCATCTTACATATGTATATTTAATATATATATATCTACAAACATATTACGTCTATACATCTGTCTGTCTGTTTGTAATTGTATCCAATAAAAGTCAAAACGGCTGAACCAATCGGACCAAAGTTTGTGTGGCAACTCACATTACCCCAGAGACTGCATACAGGGATGGTTAAAAAATATGAACATCTTTGTCCAGAAATAAATTTTTTAGATTTTTTATACACGCCGAGAAGGATACTTGAGCTGTAGTTCAATATGAATAAAGAGAAAGAAGAGGGACGGATACTTGAGCTGTAGTTCAATATGAATAAAGAGAAAGAAGAGGGACGGATACTTGAGCTGTAGTTCAATATGAATAAAGAGAAAGAAGAGGGACGGATACTTGAGCTATAGTTCAATATGAATAAAGAGAAAGAAGAGGGACGGATACTTGAGCTGTAGTTCAATACGAATAAAGAGAAAGAAGAGGGACGTATACTTGAGCTGTAGTTCAATATGAATAAAGAGAAAGAAGAGGGACGGATACTTGAGCTGTAGTTCAATATGAATAAAGAGAAAGAAGAGTGACAGATGCTTAAGCTAGAGTTCAATATGAATAAAGAAAAGAAGAGGGACGGATACTTAAGCTATAGTTTAATATGAATAATTAGAGAAAGAAGGTTAAAGACAAAGAATTGGGTGGAGCTTATAACAATTTACTCCGATTCAAAACTGACCGTGACTTATTTTTTAGGAATAAACCTTAATGTTTTCCTTTCTAATTATAAGCACCGTGACGCCATTGTTTATTTAATGTTTTTACCATTTACCATATATTGAATGACGGAACAAACCTCTCGAGTCCAAACATCCGGGTTAATATTTAAACCATTTGCAACGTCTTAACCTCCCAAACTTGACCCGGCCCGTCCTCTTCCATCCTGTCCGGGGGCCTCTATGGTTTATGTCGTATCAGAGGAATCAGGGTCGGGTCGGTAAATAGCAAAACCGGCCTCCGAGCCGGCCCTATTGGTTCTATTCTGGTAGTTTGTCGGACCGGGCCGGCCATCTTTGAAGTTTTCCTTGGTCTTGTACCCAGCCGGGCCGGCCTCCGTTGAGGTTAGATCGATTCAGTCAGCTGGTGACTACATATATATATATATATATATATATATATGTAATATTTATATGTACGTGTGATCATACATTAGTGAGGATCCAATAGTGCTCCAGTGCTATTCTATACAGATACAGTGTACAATATACAATAGATATATTGCATATTTGGTGACAAAAATTTGTAATCATACCTAACAGTTATGAAAATTGGAGTTCTAACAAATTATTTATGTAAATTTTTTGTATTTAAAATAATTCAATTAAAGTTAAAAGGCTTCCCGCTTTCTTTGCAATTTATTTAATAAAATGAACTGAGTCTTTGTCAAAAACTCTGATTTTTAAGTTCCTATATCTTTGCAATCCAAAGTCGTAGACCTAAGATATTTTAAACCATGAATTCTGTTAGATCATAGATTCTATTAAAAGTTTGAAATATTAAAGGTTTACACCTCAGTTTGCATAATATAGGGATTAGACAATCCGAGTTTCTGGAAAAGACTGAATTCCTTTCACAATTTGTTGAATATTTAGAGGCTATCCAAAATTATCTTTATTCCATTATGCGTCATTTTATTTTGCTGCATTATTTCATGCAGCCGCATGCGTCATTTTCAAAATCAAATTAGACTCTCAAATATTTTTTGAAAAACTTTTAATAATTTGATTTTTTTACAAAAGCAAAATTAGATGGAAATAATAAATTACTGAAATTTTAGTTTAGAATTCTTGTTAATTTTAAATTTAATACAAAATTGAAAAGAATTGGATTTTTCAATGGACAGTTTTCAAGTAATAAAAAAAATTTGGTAATTATAAATAATTGCCAGTTCCAGTAAATATTTTTTCTTCATCATCAAAACATTATTAAGTTTACATAATGTATTTTTATAATTAAATTAACTTTTGAAAGATAAAACATGAGTAGATAAATGATAAAAAAGTAGCAATTTGCTACCGAATACTTTCACAGAATCTTAAAAAATTTCAATTACCTTTTTTGGGTAAAAATTTTTTTTCTTTAACTAAAAGATAAAATGAATAATTACAATTTTAGTAGCACTTCAAAAGATTCAAATTAAAATCTAAACTTTTTCTTTAGAATTTGCTTAAAATTTAACTTATTATGCAATAAATAATTAATGGAAGGGAAGGGGGGGGGGGGATGGAATTAGAAATAATGTTAATAAATACTATTTCAGATTTTTAATGTTCAGTACAATGTAGTAACAATTCTTCAAAAGTTTTCATAGAAAAGTGAAAATAAAAAAAAACCTCAAATCATATCATATACATGTAACTAGTGACGATCAATATATACATTTTAAAATAAAATTTACGAAATAAACTTTTTTAGAAATCTTTAAAAATCTACAAAATTATCGGCGAAAATCTACGAAATTGAGACGAATACGAAGGAAGGACATTTTAAGAATATAAAGGTAATACAAAGGAATTGAGTCTTTGCCCTAAAATCAAATTTTCTAATGCCTATATCTTTGCAACCTGAAGATGTAAACCTTTGATATTTCAAACCTAGATCATTTGATCCAACCAAATACATAGTTTGAAATATCTAAGGTCTACGACATTGGGTTGAAATATGAAATAAAATTACGAAAAATTTAAGTGTGTAATAACAATAAATACATATTTTTAGGATTTAAATTTTTCAAACATCTCTTAGATTTAAATACTTTCAAATATATATATTTAAAGAAAGATTGATCAGAAATATTTAATTTTCAATTTATTTATCTGGAATTTAGAATTCAAAATTTTAAAATTCCAAGAAATATGAGACTGACGTGACTCACTAAATATTTCTGGTACTGTTTATACATAGTGATGGCGCGTTCGGCTTTTTAATCATTTTGTTCGTTCATCGTTCGTGAACGACCCATTTCAATCTTCTATTTGCAATCGTTAATTGATTTCGTTCGTTCCCAAGATTATCATCATTTTCTTCTATTACGTTCGTTATCTCACTTAACAATCGTTCAGTAAAATTGTTCGTACAGTAAAATTGTTCGTACAGTAAAATAGTTCATTCAGTAAAATCTTTCGTTTAATAAAATCGTTCGTTCAGTTAAGAAATGATCGTTGTTTTTAAAAATTTTGCTCGACAAATTTGTTCGTCAGTAAAAAATGATCGTTTTTTCAAAATAAATAGTTCAGTAAAAACTATTGGGTTTTTTCAAGTTCGTTTAAGCGATTCTAATTCGTTCGTTTTTATTTTTACATTGTTTGTTTTAAAAAAACCCAATAATTTAAGTTTCTCTGAACGATCCATTTCATTCATCCATCGTTCGTTTTGTTCTGAACGAACCTCTTTTTACGAAAAATTTCGTTTGTTCAAAAAAAACTACGCCCATCTCTAACTGTACAGCTGTATGCATGTGTTTACATTTTCCTTACACTAAATGTAAACAAAGTTTGTTGTTTAACAATATGTCTGTTATCTACTCTTAGATCCTAAATCCTTTTTTAACCCCTTTTTTTATAACTTTTGCAGTTATAAGTTTATACAAAAAAATTTATATTTCGTTTAAAGATTATTATAGCAATTATTAAAACTATATATAATTTTCATGTCAAGAAGTGATTTACAGAAGGGTCAAAAAAAAAGAATAGAAATTGAAAAATCCAAGAATAAAAAAAATGAAAAATTTAAATGTTACATATTATAAATATACGTTGAATTAAACTTCTGTAATAATCTTGATGAAGCTTCAGAAATTTGAATATTGTTTTTATGTAAAGTTAAAGTTTAGAAAAATTAGTTGTTTTTGTGACTTTTTTGCTCAAGATTTGCCCATATTTTTTTGTAAACGGAGTTGACCATAGGAACAAGATTAGAATTTAAACTGCAACTTATAGATAAAGCATTTACAGACGAAGCACTTTAGCAATCATCTGTAAACATTCAATTTAAAATGCTTTTTTATTTTTCTACAACAAAAACTGGACTATCCATAAAGATGAGACTTCAGAGACGATATTCCAGAATTTATTAAGTAATTTATCTTGCATTCAGGGTTCCTTGTAGACCAAACCTGTCATATTTCTGTGTTTAATCATTTAGTAAACCATGAAAAATACTCAATTGAATACAGAAACCAGAAATCAAGTTTCAAATCGTCATATTCTAAAAGTTTCGGGTCGTCTTTACAGTATAATTCTTTGTGGGTAACCCTGTATTCCATTTCAGACAGTGTTCCTTTCTTTGTGAAAATAAGTTTATTTGTTTATACAGCTGGACCCCGCATATTACTTCCCCCCTGTTGAATAAATATTATGTCCCTGTTTTAGGTATGTAATAATGCAATGCAGTGCTCACTCCTCTATGTTCTGGGCATTTTAAGCTTTCTCTCTCTTCTCGCTTTCTCCCAGTCAAAACAATCCAAAGATGGAAAACTGAGATTACAGCCGAAACTTAAACCTTTACAGAGGGTAAACCAAGGATCAGAGAAACCGGAGTTGAACCCGGAGTATCTAGGGTTACCCGGAGAACCAGAGTACGAGATCGACACCTCGGACCAGGAGAAAGTGAAACCGTCCAGGGGTTCAAGTGAGCGGCTTGATAAGGTTCTACGTGGAGAGAAACGAGGTTTAAACCAACAGGAATCTGAATCTCAAGCTTCCTTTATTTCCAGGTATTTATTGTTTTTAGACAATTCTTTTACTGAAAAATTCGAATTTTCAGATCAAATATTTAAAATGAAAATGATACTTTTTCATATAAAGAAATGTCCAATTTATTTTTCCCTTTCAATATTTCTAATCTAAGGATTTCATCTACTTGCGTTAACGTATATGAACTCAGTATTAAAGAAATGAATATCAGTCTACAAAAGTGTTGCAGTAAAAAAAACAGAATGCTGTTAACAACTTCTAGAAGTTGCTAACAGCATTTGTTGTACAGAGATGCAGAGTATATAATATATACTATAGGGGAAATTGTAGAAAGTTCATTTTATCATTAACTTTCATTAATTTTGAATTACATGAACAGGCCGGCTAGTAACTGGCAGTTTCTTTAGAGGGGGGGGGGCACACAGAGTAAAGATGTGGAAAAGTCACTCTTACACAATAAATACTTATTTCACCATACATTTTGTCTTTCATGTGGGGGGGGGGGAGTCCCGTTACGGCCTTGTTAATTATGTGAGACATTTTCCACACAAACATTAGAATATTCGCCTTCCATCAAAGTATGAAGGATGAAAAACTCCTTTTTTAATGAGCAGAAATTTAAATTGCATGCTGCCTCAATGTCGGGCAGTTGACATTCTATACAATGTTATAAAAAAGTTGGAAAACATTTTTATATTTATATTTGGGGGATTAACCTTCTTTAAACCTGTTAAACTGAAAACTTAATTAGACAGAAGATAGGTACAATTTGTTCGACATTACTTGCATGCCTTTGTGACCTCGTACCTCCTTTTTTTCCGCCCTAACATGAGAAAAGAAAATTGAATATTAGAAATTCAAAACATTCTTGTTCTTTTCAAAAGCCCTGCAATATCCGAAATAAGAGGAGTGATAATTGAAAACATAAAAGATTTAATCTTACCTGCAGTTTACTTTTATAGTTTGACGTGGAAACGCGGGGCCTATGGGGGGAGAATCTAGGATTAAGTGGTATTGTTGGTTTCCACTACCCCAGCTGGGTTCCAGCCAAACCATGGAAAGATGAAAAAATTAGCGTTTCCCTTGGAACATTCTTTTTAATCTAAATCCTATACTTGGGTTAAACAGCTAAAGTACTGGCATAATAATTTTCATAATTAAAAAAATGTTAAAGAAAAACGACTAAAAATTTGATTTGATTTTTAAAATTTTATCAATAGATAAAAAATCAATAACCTGTATCCTGTATACTGTATCATGTGGAAAATATTTTTATAATTTAAGCACCATATCAAGGACAACCGTTTACGGGGAACGGTTGTTTTTTACAACTAACGAACGATAAACCATCCTTAACGACACAAACGTTAGCGAACGGTATAATTTATATACATTCGTTAATCACTAAACGAAACGAATGTGAAAGGAAAGGTATTTAAAGTAAGGAACGCAGAACGAGCGATTAAGCGCAATGTCCTCGTCAACGAACGGTTTCAAAAATAAAGAACGTACCCACCCAGTCCTAATTATAACCACAATAGAAACTAACTAAACTTTAATTCTTTGTAAATTGAATACAAGAAACTGATTGGTGATTATGTACCTAAGGTTATGATCGTACATCATTAGGTTCCAAAGATATTTGAAAAAGAAAATTGCCTGAACTATGGATGCAGAAAACATATTATTCTGTAATAAACCGAAGGAAATGTTCTCCCACGGTATTTTGGGATCTTATCGGACAATAGAAGCCATTCAGTGCAAGAACAAATTATTTTGTTTTTATTTTTTGATTTAATTAGCGAACTTTTGAAGTTCAATGATCCCACAGTTTCAAGTGTTGTTGTGTTTTACTAGGTTTGCTTCACTGATGTTACAAAGGAGAGCGTGACTGTTTAAAAGCATTATGAACGTATTTTAATTACTTTTCATATTCACTGTAAGCTAAGGTTCATTTGATAGATACAAACTAAAAAAGACAGAAAAATGGGATAGTATACTTAATGAATCATTTTTAACTCAATTTAAAATTTTCAAATCAAAAACATTGAACGTTCTGATTTTTCTTTTCAATACCCAATTCCTAGAAATGTTTTGGGCCGGTTCCTTTATAGTGACGTAATCGATTAACTTTAATACTAATATTTATTCTCCACCTACAAGCACATTAGAAATAGTATTCTACACAACGTGATAATAAGTACATACATCGCAGAGGTGTGAGCAGTGAGAAAGCAACCATGCAAAATTGTGTCTACTATATCATCTGTTTTACTTTTATAAAGTACAGTGAGTATGGAATAGGAAGACGACATTATTGCAATACTTAAGTGTATTTGGTGTTACAAAGCAAATAGTTTTAACAGACACTTAAATAAAATCACTTATTTAGTGAAATGGGCCTTTTTACACTGCACAATTGCTGTGTTTCGTACGTCGTCATTGAATTTTTTAAAGTCAAAACTTGACTCTAAAAGTCGTCTTACTATTCCAGAATGTTCTGGTTATCACTGTACATATATTCATACATTTAAACTTCATTTTTAGTATCTGTCAATTGAAATTTGATCAAAATCTTTGAGATTTTAGATTTTTAAAATTTTAAATTTTTTTTTATTTGTCAAACATTGTTTCGAACTTAATTAAGCTAGCTGTGCTTTGTACAGTTTCGATAAACCAACATAATCTATCCTTTACAGTAATCTTTATGCATAAAGTAGTGATCTCCGTTTTTTTATGTCAGATCATAATTCGGGTAACCGGTTCGTTGCGTTTTCTCTCGTTTCTTTGTTTCAAAGTTTGATAAAGGAACTTGGTAGTTCCACCTTGTTTCTTACCTTGTTTTGATAATGTCCCTTTTAAAATTTGAGGCAAATTGGTCAAGGGGTTCCTGAATTATGATCTGATCTGCATTGTATATAGGTATATGCAATTCAATTATAAAAAGGCATGCTAGCTTTTGATATTTGATTAAACATTTCAAACATCTATTAAAAAGTTTTCTACACTATTGCCGCCAGCCCCCCCCCCCCCCCCCCCCTCCATTCTATACGGTGTTATTAATGAATGTTTGAATCAATTCCTACATGGGTCAAATAGTGCTGACCCGGCTAATCTTTTGCCAAATATTAGATCTAGGTGGACAAATTGGGTATTATGAGCAGCTGTACAAAAATGGATATTTGACAAAAATTAGATGTAACAAAATCTTTCATGTACACAATTATTTTCATGTACACAATTGTTTAAAAAAGAAATGCAGATGATATATTTGATGATATATAAACAAAATACTATAAGTTTTATCATGTTTGATATTGTAACATTTAAATAACAATATAATAGAGAAAAAATACTAGGTCTTGCAAAAATATTTGCTGTTTCTTGTTAATTATCTGCAGGCTTTTCCCCCTCGTACTTTGTTAAACAAACAACAATTTTCAGGATTTTCTGTTTCCAATTGTTGTCAAGTTTTAAACTTTTGAATTCTAACCAACCACAATTTCTCCTCTTAAACCTTAAAGTACAAACTTATAATATTACAAAATACAAATCTATGTAATAAAGCACAATTATTCGGCTAGGATGGTTACAATTTTTTTTTACCAAATATGGCCCATTAAATTATTTTGTCTAACCTTCTGAATCTGAAATTTTGATTTAAAATATAAATATTCGTTATGAATTTGATTTAAATTTCGGATAAAAAGAGGAGATTGAAATCCTTTTCAGTAGATTTGAATATTGAATTTTGAATGAAATTGATAGATTAGAATATTCTAGAAGCTCAACACCATCAGTTGAGTTGGACCAATATTTTTGCAATATAACTTACATTGGGTTTTCTATTAATCAAATTTAGAGTTTCGAGAGTTGAGCGCGATTGCCAGGCATTTCATCCGCAATTTGTGTTCTTTATTAAAGAACCTTTAAAGAGATATTTTTTCTATGGTCTTTTTTGAGGCCATAATGTAGGACCACTGTATTCTAGAATAAGGATTGATGTAGGACCACTGTATTCTAGAATAAGGATTTATGTAGGACCACTATTCTAGAATAAGGATGGGTGTAGGACCTCTGTATTCTAGAATAAGGATTGATGTAGGACCACTTCTCTACAATAAGGATGGGTGTAGAACCACCGTATTCTAGAATAAGGATTGATGTAGGACCACTGTATTCTAGAATATGGATGGGTGTAGGACCACTATTCTAGAATAAGAATTGATGTAGGACCACTTTTCTACAATAAGGATGGGTGTAGGACCACTGTATTCTAGAATAAGGATTGATGTAGGACCACTTCTCTACAATAAGGATGGGTGTAGGACCACCGTATTCTAGAATAAGGATTGATGTAGGACCACTGCATTCTAGAATAAGGATTGATGTAGGACCACTGTATTCTAGAATAAGGATTGATGTAGGACCACTGTATACTAGAATAAGAATGGGATGTAGGACCACTATTCTAGAATAAGGATTGATGTAGGACCACTGTATTCTTGAGTAAGGAAGGGTGTAGGAACACTATTCTAGAATAAGGATTGATGTAGGACCACTATTCTAGAATAATTGATTGATGTAGGACCACTGTATTCTAGAATGATAATTTAACCTAACCTACAAATCACTAATGCTTAAAAGAAAGTGTCTCTCTGGACATTTTGATTAATATCTTGATGACGACAGCAGTTCAGGATATTCTTCAATAAAATATTTCATCCAACATTTTTAGTATTTTATTAAAATTGGTCAACTTGCTGCTTTTTAGATAACTCTAAACTATTTGATAAATAATGTTTTTTTTAAAATAAAGATTCTGCTTTTAATCGTTTTAATTTTCCTGAATTAATGATAAAATTATTCACTTAAAATTGTGAATTACTGAATGAGTGGGGGGGGGGTAGTTTACCTAATTGACAAAGGGAGGGGTAAATAATTTTTGGTAAAAAATATGAAAAAGAATGAAAACCCTTGCCTGTTGATATCTAATTTTTAATTTTTACCCCCAGATCTTGAAAAGCAAAAATACACCCCTGCTTGAATCTATAATTGTGAATTAAATCCCATGTGAGGTAGACCTAGGCCTAGGAGAGTAGAGAGGGGGAAGATTAGACCTAGGACTAGGAGAGTAAAGAGGGGGCAGATTGCCAATTTATCAAAATTATTTGAAGGATTTGAAGGTTAAAGATAAACACATGGGGAAATGGGTAGACGTATAAGGTAGATAGGTAGAAGTAGATATTCATATTTTTTATTCAACTACAAAGCATGAGATAATAAAAATAAAAATAGATAGGTATATTATAGGTAGATAGGTAGGAAGATAAATAGGTAGACAGGTAGATAGGTATAGATAGGTAGATAGGTATATAGGTATAGATAGGTAGATAGGTAGATAGGTAGATAGGGAGATAGGTAGATAGGTATAGATAGGAAGATAGGTAGATAGGTAGATAGGTAGATAGGTAGATAGGAAGATAGGTAGATAGATAGATAGGTAGATAGGTAGATAGGTAGATAGATAGATAGATAGATAGATAGATAGGTAGATAGATAGATAGATAGATAGATAGGTAGATAGGTAGATAGATAGATAGATAGATAGGTAGATAGATAGATAGGTAGATAGATAGATANGGTAGATAGGTAGATAGGTAGATAGGTAGATAGGTAGATAGGTAGATAGGTAGATAGGTAGATAGGTAGATAGGTAGATAGGTAGATAGGTAGATAGGTAGATAGGTAGATATTTATATTTACATTTCTGGATTTTTCAGATTGTTGAGTTCTGTGATAAACTTTAAAATGGCCGAAGATTTAGCAGACAGGTAAATAAGATTAAAAAAATGTAAAAATTATTTTGAATTGCAAAAAAATGATGCAAGTAGGTTTGGAGGTTTGATAAGATGAAAGAATGAATGAATAATGAAGAAGTTGAAATGGATTTCTAAATAGATGAATTATTAATAAAGAAAGTTCAATGTTTGTTTAAACAGTAATTTGTGACATAAACGTCTTTATCAAAAATTAAAGAATTTTCCATAATAATAAAACTAAAACATAAAATTATTATTGTTTAAACCTAATATCTTTGCAACCAGATGGAAAAAGTTATTCAAGTATATACACGAAATCGAACCGAGAAAAAGTTCACAAGATTATTTTTACTCAAAATTTTCAAAATTTAACATAATTTGATTTAACTTTATCTTGAAGCGTAAAAATTAAGTTCAACGTTTCGCCAAATTATAATTACTGTAACTGTAACAATTTTTAACTTAAAAAATTTATTTTGGTTAAGGGGTGTGGGAACAAGCTCACGCATACAAATAAAACGATATATTAGTAAACCTATTTCCAGTTTGTTATTGAGGTCTTTCTCTTATTTTGCTCTGTTCAAGATCGGTTAAAAGTCATGTACCCAACGATTTGTGTTGCGCCGTTGTCTTAAAAACTTGGGTAACCCCATAATCCATAGTAAACACTTATTTTACGCGGGCTGATCTTGCTTCCTGTTTTTCCTTAGGTTTAACTATTTGGTTTGGTTAAATTTTAAGCTGGATTTTGTTATGTTCTTTTGTCCTTTTCTCATAACAACATATGACACAATTCTTTGAACAACTTTAATATATATGTAAATATAAATATGTAATTACGTATATTCTTTTTAATATTAAGAATATAATTTTAACAGGACAAAAAACAGCTTTAAGCTATCTGAGCTGCTGTAATTGTATTTTTATTTTCATTTTTATCTATTGTTTAATTTGTTATTATGTTTGCTGCAGAAAACTATATGATTTGATTGATTGATTGTTTTAAGGCTGGATGACCTAATCTGTGCCTGGGATAAAGTGATGGGAACAGATTTTGAAACCTTGATTCTTCTCCTCTTAGGTAATAAATATATAAACTAGCAAAAGTTAAAATGTTCTTTATTTTATTTTAAAAAAAGGGAAAAAAAATTTCCATCTTGAAAAAATGGAATTTTTTAGCCTCTTTTACCAAAGGGTTCCCTTAAAAAGATTTGAGCCAATTTGGTACAGTCTTTAAGCCAGCAACAGCCAACATATAAATATACATAAACTAGAAATTCAAGGCGCTTCGCGCCCTTCTTTCTAGCCTTAGAGGGCGCTTCGCGCCCATCTCCTAAATTAATTGTGAACATGTTCTCTTTGTGTACATCGTAAAACAAAACAAAAATAATTCGCGGATTTTCAAAATTTTAAAAAATTTAATGACGATCGAATTTTGATGGAGACAAATATTTGAAATTTTGATGATTCATAAACCTTCCCTGGAGTCCCTAGATGTCCCACAAAAAATTTGGGCCCGATCGGTTCAGCCGTTTTGACGTTTATTGGATACAAACAAACAAACAAACAAACAGACAAACAGACAGACAGACAAGCCAAATTTATATATAGATGAGCGAAGAGCTTTATTATATTAACCAGCTGAAGTGCACGGCCTCGCCCGTGGAATTTAAAAAAACACTATAAAAAGTTTAATTTTAAATAATAGAATTTTGAATATGTATTTATATGAGCAAAGAGCTTTTTATATAGATATAACTACACACTAGACAGAAGGAGAAGGACAACTGGTAGGACATGTGACCTCGTAGCTCCTCTAGTTTTGATTTTACGCAGAAGTGCAGTTTCATCCGTTAATTCAAAACCTGGACAGCTCGTAAATGTTATTTGTAACTAGCTGAAGGGCCGTTGGAAAAAATTTGGAAAAAAAAATTTGAAGAAAAAACCATTTAGAATTTTGTTTAGCCTATAACACCCCCCGGCCACCCATGGGTGTCAACAAAGAATTTCAACCAAATCCGTCCAGCCGTTTGGCCGGCTATATGCAACATATATATATATGAATGTTTGTTTATTATATAGATTTTTTTTATTTTTATTTTCATATACAAGTCAGTTTACTCAACTTAGATATTTGACCAAGCCAGGAACATTAAAATAGAGATTACTACTTTATATTTATAGAATTTTCAATATCTGTTTATGGGTTCGTATGTCCGATCATAATTCAGGTATCCCTTGGGCCTTGATGGTGAAACTCGGTAGTACCACGGGCATGTTCTTAACTTGGTTTCAATTCTTAGTTCAATGAGTTAACTTATTATAATTCTTAACATTTCCTTTCATAAAATCCGTTTCCTTTAAAAAAACAATTTCCTTTTATAAAAACCATTTCCTTTTATGAAAACCATTTCCTTTTATAAAATCCATTTCCTTTTATAAAAACCATTTCCTTTTATAAAAACCATTACCTTTTATAAAAATCCATTAAAATCCATTTCCTTTTATAAAAACCATTACCTTTTATAAAAATCCATTTCCTTTTATAAAAATCAATTTTCTTTTATAAAAATCCATTTCCTTCTATAAAAACCATTACCTTTTATAAAAATCCATTTCCTTTTATAAAAATCCATTTCCATTTATAAAAACCATTACCTTTTATAAAAATCCATTTCCTTTTATAACAACCATTTCCTTTTATAAGAACCATTTCCTTTTATAAAAACCATTTCCTTTCAGAATTAATTAACTGTCAAACCTGAAACTAAAAAATTGAATATTTGATGTCTGCAAATTTTCTTTTTGATCTAGGATTTTTAAATAGAAGATGAAATATATTAGGGTTTGGAGAGTATGCTAGAAGAATATTATAAAGAAATCAGAGCAGAGTCGGAAAGGAATTGAGTCTCTGATTCAAACTCTGATAGTCTAAACCCTTTATTTAGACCTTAGATTTGCCAAGCTAAGACGTCTGTCAGATCAAATAATCTAAGGACTACGACATTGGGTTGCAAAGATTTGCTGCAAAGACTCAATTTCTAAAGAAAGTATCGGTAACGAAACTCCCAATTTTTCTTTTTGAGGGTCTAGACATCTACGGAGATATAATTTAAGAAATCAGAATACTAAAGAAACAATATGAAATAATATTTCTAAACACTTACACAAGTATTGTTTTCTACGGAACTGCCTGACCCATTCATGAAACCGGGTTTTCAATACTGGGGTTTATGATCGATGATTCCCTGTTTTAAGTTTCAGGTTCAGCAGAACTTATTTGCACTTTCTTATGTTTGTATGTCAGGGTGTGTGTGTGTTACCTTTAGCATGCCAAACCAAATATATTATTAAGAACAATATGGTGGCAATCAGAATTTGGATAAATTATGCATGACGTCATTGATGTTAAATGTGACAAAATAACAAAATCAAAATAGGATACAGTCGATCTAATATTACCATTGGAACTGTATTTGATAAGTAAAAGTAATACAAATATTTACGTACATTTTCTCTCCATCCTCTTCTGAAAATTGTATTACTTCTTTACTTTTTAATATTTCCCGAGATGGGAGGGAAAAGAGGAATAGTTTTAATTATTTCTTTTTCTTCATTTTCTCAAATTACTGTGTTAATCCTTCCTAATCTTACCCTCCTTTACTTGTTTAGCTTTATCTTAATTCTCAGATTAAGATTATTAAGATTATTAAGATTATTAAGATTATTAAGATGTTAAATATAGCGGGCCAAACAGTTGGACTGAATTAGCTGAACTTTTTTGAGGAAACCAATAGGTATCCTGCAGGGGGTTAAAAGGCTATTTTTTTGAAAATTAGATTTTTTAAAATTCCAAGGGCAACGTCAGGCACTTTAGCTAGTTTCTCAAATCCTTGTATCTAAATTGTACAATACATCCAAAGTAACATTTAACCCTATTCCCGCTGGGGGGGGTCAATTTGACCCCCCCCTGTAGTTTTTTTTACATAACTCAAAAAGTATTGGTCTGAGGCTGTTGAAATTTTCTGACTTTTCTTACATACCCAAAGCCCTCCCTTTAGGCCTAAAACCGGGCTTTAATAATAACTGCCTGAGTCCTCAGGCACACTGCCTGAATGACTGCTTTTGCCTGTAGCAAACTAAATCTTTGTTTTGACCCACTTTCACTTGTCAGATTTTGATCAAATTTAGCTTTTTGGAAAGCCTATGACATAGGAAACGGATTGCACAAGTTTTGCGAAAAAAAAATTGCAAATTTTTTGCAAACAACCTGTCAAAGAAAATTTGCACATTTTTAGTTTTTCTTGATTAAAAATCAGGTTATTTAAAATTTTGCAAAAATTTTTGCATATTTGAAATGGCATGGTCAGGGCTTTTCAAAAATGTATTATTTGTCTTTTTTGGACAAATTTTTTTTGCAAACATTTTTACTATAAAACTGGATTTTGCGTTAAAAAATTCAATTTTCGCAAATTTGCAAATTTTTTTGCAGATTCTAAAAGTAGAGCACAAGAGCTTTCTAATGATGTATCATTTGTCATATTTGGACATAAAACATGGGATTTAGAGGGGGGGGGGTCAAATTGACCCTCCCCCCAGCGTATCCTGGTTTTCAAGTACCCCAGCGGGGATAGGGTTAAACCATTTACAATTATACAAAATACAATAAGTAAAGGTTAACATTGAAAAGGGTAAACTATGTTATGCTAAAAGGTTCTATTTTGGTTCAAACTTTGACTCAAAGAATGTTTATTCAATTTCTAGAATTATATTAATGAAAATATTGTTCTCCAGATCAAATCTATATAAAACAAGACATTCATACATATGTTGCCTATAGCTGGCCAAAAGGCTGGATCAATAAGGCTGACAATTTTCATTAAATTTTTTTTTCTTTTTCTTCGGGTAACGCCAGGGACTTTAGCAAGTAGTAAATAAATATAAAGTTGTAAGCTCTGTTTTTCTGTCTGTTTGTTCGTCCGATCATTACTCAGGAACCCCTGGACTGATTTGCCTCAATTTTTGACTGGGGAACTCGGGAGGCCAACGGGAATGTTCTTAGCTTTGTTTTAAGATATTAAATTCAGTGGGTTGTCTTTAATATTAGCGAAAATACAGTTTCCCGATAAAATCGATCAAGTGCGGGTTAACGGCGGGAGTAACTATGAGTACCCTGGGCAGCGCTGGGTTTCCAAGATAGTAAATACATATCACAGGAAAATAATGTTTTACTTCAATTAATGGTAAAAGAGGTATATCTAAAATTTCAGAATGGCAAATTTGTTTGCTTTTCAAACGTGTATTTCAGCCTTAAAAGACGAGTTTGACGAGAGTTGTGTAAAAAATGTATGCCTATTGCCTATTGAGTGTTGATTGACTGAATGTTTCTAAAAGTGTTTAAACAAATAAGCCTAATTTTTGTGTCGCGCTGGTGTCTGGTCAAATGATTTAAGTGTCCCCTTCTTTGTTCAGTTAGATTAACCAACTCCTGTTAACCACTTTTTTTCCTCTTATACTCCAATTTATTCTTTTTATTCTTTTCTCCTCACTACGAATTCCAAGAAATTATTTTAACATTAAATTCAATGTCTATGAAGCAAATTAGTTGCGTAAAACAAACTAAATTTCTTGAATTTGAACTTTGAAATTTGAATCCTCCAAATTCATTTTCACCTTTTACTCTACTTGTCAATATCCAGGGTAGTTAAATTGTGTTGGTTGAAAAAACAACAAAATAGTTGGACGGGTCTCAAAGGAATTAAGTCTTTGCTACAAACTCAAATTTTCTATTTCCTATATCGTTGAAACCTTATGGGGGAAACCTTTGATATTTCAAACTAAAATTTAAAATATCTAAGGTCTACGATAATGGGTTGTACGGATATAGGGATCTACAAATCTTGTTTAATTATGTATTAACTATTATTTAATTATTAATTAATTAGTTAATTAATTAATTATTAATTTTTATTTATAAAAACAAAAGCATCGAACAAAATTCAGAAAAAAGTTACTAAACCTAGCTCTGTTGGTTGTTTTTTATTTCCAAAACACTAATTGTTTTAAGTTAAATTGATATTGGATGAGATGTATTGTTTATTTTCTTTTCTATTCACGAGACATAACATGACATAACATTGTCAACAATTCTCCTCTGCATTCTTTTCTCCAATCAAATAGAAGAAATATTTCGAATAGATAATTTATTTTTATTTTAGAAGTCAGTTCTGAACAATATTGTAATTATGGTTTCTGTTTTTTATTTTGTTAACACATCACGTAAAACTAAAGTAAATTTCACGTAAGATTGAAATCATAAATGTTTTCAATCATAACTCCTCTTATTACAAAGCTATTGAGAAGAACAAATGATTAAAATCTTAATATGAAACCGGATAAATTTGCCTTTCTCATGCTTTTAAGTAAAATAAAAGTTAGAGGAAATGCGAGGTAACAAAGTTGGAAGAGTAATGTCACATAAACGTTGTTTTCTCCGTCTGTCTAGTTCAGTGTGACATATTCATATGAATGTAATTGATATATTAATATTAAACTTATTTGTCCGCGGCTTTTGATCTTAAATATGTAATACGACATTTTAAAAACTCTTGCTATATATTTATATATCTGGGATTTACATGTAGAAAGATTAGGATTTTTAGAAAGAAAAACTGCTTACTAAATGTTTTACAATTTATTTTTACTTTGCAACCAAATGTCGTAGACCTTATATATTTCAAACTTTGAATTCTGTTGGACCAAAAAAGTTTGAAATATCAAAGGTTTTCACGGCAGCATGGGTATTGGGATATAGGGATTTGAACATTTGACTTTGTGGCAAAGACTCTATTTATGTTGTAGTTTCTATTACAACAGGGAGGCAATAAAAATTATAATTTTTCCTGTCAATTTAATTATTTTCTTGTTTATTGTTGTTTTTAAGAATAAATAAGATTATAAAGAAATAATCGACTGAAGTGTAAGGTTTCAGTCACACTATACTTAACACGTGCGTCATGCAGTTAGACCTTGACAAACAATTATGGTTTAATTAACACAGAAACAATTTTTCTTCATTTGATTTTTTTGTTTTAGGATGGATTGGGTTTGGAGCAGTTATTTTTCTAATATCCCATATTATATACTCATCTTTGAGTACTGGTGAGAGTGGAGAAGTTTCCCCTGGAGTACCCAGCCCTTCAGTAGGAGGAGTATCCACTCCCCTCATTCCTCCCTATAAGGATATAGCTCAGAAAACTAGTCTTCCAAAAATTGCTGTTAATAATAATATTTCTAGGTAGGTTAAAAAACATCATTTATTTTTCTCATGAAATTAGTTTCTTTGTACAGTTTTTGAATGTCAAAAGTTTCAAACACATTTTTAAATTTTTTTAAGTTCCTACTTTAAAATGACACATTTTTTAATGTTTACAATTCTAGTCTGGACGCTGCTCAGTCAATTTCAAGTCTGGATAAAAGTGGACCAAAAACTGAACCCGGAGGAACACCAATCCATTCTAATGGATTAGTTCCAGCATCTGATATACCTACGGCAGTTGGCTCAGATCCTGACGTTGTTCAGTATGTAAATAAGGTATAATACCAACTTATAGATTAAATTAAAGGTACTGTAGGCGTAATTGAAAGTGACACTCCATTTGTAGAGGGGCATGTTCGATTTACAACAGTATTCTATAATTCTTCGAATAAAAAAAGGATATTTTACAGTTAAGAAATATTAAGAATTACTTCCTCGAAGTTGAAGAAAATAAATGTTAAAATTTGACTTTTTGAGAACCTCGTTTCAAGGAGTACATGCAACTTCAGCTGAGTGGAGATCACACTGTACGCTTAGCGTACACTACAGTTGTAATGCGATTTGTGAACACCATTTCATAGATATCCACACAAAGTTCACTGCCACAGACTACACAGACCGCTCATACACTCTACCTGAATAGGCTGAGCAGGCCTATAGTGTCCCGGCACGCCATGCTACGGTTCCATGTAATGTTTTTTGCTAGCTGACATCTCACGGCCATTTGTTGCATTCAGGGGTTAAGTTTTACATCTTTTAACCCCATCTCTGCTGGGGTACTTGAAAACCAGGATATGCTGGGGGGGGGGGGTCAATTTGACCCCCCCCTCTAAATCTCATGTTTGATGTCCAAATATGACAAATGATACATCATTGGAAAGCTCTTGTGCTCTGCTTTTAGAATCTGCAAAAAAATTGGCAAATTTGCAAAAATTTAATTTTTTATCGCAAAATCCAGTTATATAGTAAAAATGTTTGCAAAATAAATTTATCCAAAAAATGAAAAATTATACATTTTTGAAAAGCCCTTGACCATGCCATTTCAAATATGCAAAAATTTTTGCAAAATTTTAAATAACCTGATTTTTAATCAAGAAAAACTAAAAATGTGCAAATTTCCTTTGACAGGTTGTTTGCAAAAAATTAGCAATTTTTTTTCGCAAAACTTGTGCAATTCGTTTCCTTATGTCACAGACTTTCCAAAAAGCTAAATTTTATCAAAATCTGTTAAGTGGAAAAGGGTCAAAACAAAGATTTAGTTTGTTACAGGAAAAAACAGTCATTCAGGCAGTGTGGTTGAGGACTCAGGCAGTTAGTATTAAAGCCCGGTTTTAGGCCTAAAGGGAGGGCTTTGGGTATGCAGGAAAAGTCAGAAAATTTCAACAGCCTCAGACCAATACTTTTTGAGTTATATAAAAAAAACTACAGGGGGTGGGGGTCAAATTGACCCCCCCCCCAGCAGGAATAGGGTTAAAGAAATACTCCAATTTTAAAATAAACATAACGTTTATGAATATTGTCTATTTTTAAAGATCTTGCATTTTCTGTTCAAAGGATCTTTAAATATCCCTGAATACAGATGTCCCCTGAATGGTCGTGTACCGTACTATATATATATATCGCATATTATAGGTGTTAATCGATCTTTGTAACTCTCTTTTCTCTGTTCACTGCCCTCGATAATCAAAGTATCCTTCCGGCCCATCGTTGCGTGGAAGGGCACTTGAAATTACGCGTACAGTCCCTTTAAGCGTATTTTTGAAGTTCTAATATTATAAATATTTCTGAATTTTCTATTTCAGTGTTGGGAGTATATATACAATCATGAAAATATATCTAATGAGATAACGAGGTGAGAACTGTTAATCAGCTGCAGATATCATTGCTAGAAACATTATTGCTATAAACTTCTATCTATAAAGTAAAATTATAGTTTATAGTAAACAAGTAAGCGTTAGATAGGATAGTGGTTTCTAAAATGTATATACTGGGTGAAGTTAACTAGATTCATATTTATTTAATTATTTAATTACAGTTCTTATCAATCATGATGAAAGCATTTATGCTCAAGGGAATTGCGTGACGATTTCGAGATTGTCTTTTTAAGCGATTTTTATTTAGTATATTGCTTACTACTGAAAAAGCTGTATTTCGTAGAGTTTTCGTCTGCTAGAGTTATAATTTATTTGTTTATGTTTTTGATTGCATACGATTGTATAACAATAGATTCCTATATGCAAACAAAGTAAACTTGTCAAATTGTCAATCCTCACTGTTTATCTGGCAGAGACATTACCAGACACATCATTACCAGACACATCATTACCAGGCACATCATTACCAGACACATCATTACCAGACACATCATTACCAGACACATCATTACCAGACACATCATTACCAGACACATCATTAATGCCATTTACCGTTTTCATAAAATAAACTCTACCAGACGTAATTATATTGTGACTTTTATAATCAGGTATATACAATGCTGCTAATTACTAACGATCTCGAATTTGTCGCTTAATTTCCATGTTTATTGAGACACCCTATATCTAAGTATATAAAATAATCAGCCAAAATGGGCTCACAAGATGCACTGTCAAAGTTCATCATGGGTCATCAGTTGGATGTTAGTCGTACTTTATTTAATATTCAATTCTTATAAACAACCAATTTAGCAAACCTTGTAAATTATTATATTTTCTTTTCAGAATTTCTCCAATTTGTGATATTTAGACATTCCTAATTAAAGCACCTACGCCATTATAATGTCGCTAAACAAATTTAAAAGTTTCAAGAATTTTGAAAAATGAGAAAATAATATTATATATAAAGTAGAATGATAAGTTTTTATAACACCATTATTTTGTATCGCAGTGATGTAATACACGTTTTTGTACGGAAATTTTCTCTTTATTGAGAAAGTTACAATATTTAAGTCCAAAATTTGTACAATACTTAGTGCCAAAATAATAGTGTTATCGGTTATTTATAAAATGTTTGTGTACTTAATGTCTAGATATAATAAGCTTTTCAACAAATCAGAAATAAAAAATAAAAGTTAATGTCAACTTTATTGTATTTCAGACTGAAAAAATGTCTAGAAATATTCAAAATGAGAAAATACGAACCCCCAATGAAATTTTATATGACCGTGGTATTTTACAGCTAAAATAACATTAAAGCGCGTCTATAATAAAATGATAATGATCCAGTGATAAAATGCACCATAGTAGCTAAAATATGTTATATTTATCTAGATAATTCTGTTTTAGATTATGGTTCGAGAAAATGAACGAATTCACAAAAAGATCTGCCCTAGAGGTACAGTTTACATTCTCATCTCAACAAAATTAATTTGAAAATTAAATGCAGAATTTGTTAGAATTTAGAATAGTAAAGCTATACATGCATGTTCCTGCAAGCTGCAAGCTGTTTGTCTTTTTGAGAAAAAAATGGTTTTATGCTTTTTGATGATTAACGTATTGTTACAGCACAGCAACGAACTTGTGGTTGGTACACCACAGTACATAGAAGTAGAAAGAGGAGTGTACACGGCACTGCTTTATAATATATTTATGTTCAGGACGTAATATATGTTTATAATATATTTATGTTCAGGACGGATTGTATGTTGAGTTCCTTGGACTGGATTCAACTAGAGAGGGTGGTTCAAGGCTTGGGTTCAATAATATGACAGCAGAACCACTTCCTGGTGATAATATGGTAAATATTTTGGGATACTATTAGTGTTCAGAAATCATTTCTCTTGAGATAATTCAAAAATGTTACCCCCAGTCCAGAATGGGTTTAGGGGCTTATCATTGAATTGTTCACTCGAATTTAACAATTCAGTCCTTATCCCAGGAAGCTTGGACTTCTGATTACAATTTAACCAATTAAATATATTTTTAGCCTTTTCTCCCTTTACCTTTTTTGTCGGCCTATTCCTTGCGATAAAAAACTAAAAAGTATAAAAATACAACTCAGTAAGTTTTAAGATTTTTGAATTAGAGACCAAAGCGCCGCAATTGAATAAAAAGAAGTACGGGGTGTGTTAAAAATAAATGATTTGAATTTTTAAACTGAATTAAATGACGTATCAAAGATGGGAAAAAAACTTTCCCCACCAAAACTACTCTTTCATTTTTTCATTATTATTAATGTGTTGATCTCCAAATTGTATATTTTTAGTCTGTGACAAGTGATCTGAACGCTGAGTTTTCCTTTAAGTTGAAGACGACCCGTCCTCTCCGGGATAGAATAGAAGCAGCAGATTTTATACTTCTAGTAGACAGGATACGAGCCAGGTAGGACTAAACAAATTAATTCCATTTACTTTCATTAAAACATCAGCAGTTAACACATTACTTTTGTCATGATTAATGTCATAATCATCATACCTGTTGTTAGTTTTTTGTGCATCAAGTTTCATGTTAATATCAGTTTTCATTGAAACAGTTCTAGTTTTGCCGCGTTTCCATTAACACCTAGTTTCCAGCTTTGAAGTTTTTGCAAAAGATAGTTAATCTTGATTTTTCTTTTGTATGTTTATATAACAATACAGAAAAAAAATATAATGGGGGGGGGGGGTAGAGGGGTTAGTCCAACCTCCGTATGTGCCCCATCTTTCTTTTGTGTTTTTATTATAATACTTTTAATTAAACATCATGAACACTTTTCTTTACCCAACTGTTCATAAGTCTTGATTTAAAATATAAAATATCAGTATTAAATCAATTTCCACGTATTGATTGATAAATAAAGTTCCCCTTGACTGTATTGATAAATACATTGATTAACTAGGTTCTACTTGACTGTAGTCATTAATGAATTGATTAACTAGGTTCTCCTTGACTGTTTTCATTAATGAATTGATTAACTAGGTTTTCCTTGACTGTATTCATTAATAATTTAACAGCTATAGGTTCTCCTTGACTGTATTCATTAATAATTTAACAACTATAGGTTCTCCTTGACTGTATTCATTAATAATTTAACAACTATAGGTTCTCCTTGACTGTGATAAATGGTGAGAAATTAATTATTGCAAAGCTGGACGGGTGGCCAGATCTAAAACTCCGGGTCCAATCTCAAGCAGGGATTAGTGCAAACATTTCCAGGTATTGATTTAATCAGTTAAAATACGAAAATCCAAAAGATCTGTCAATTTTGAAATATTACATTTGATGAATGAAAGTGAGAAAATAAAATGGTTTTTTTCTTGTAAGGCAAAATAAAACTTTAAAATTTGAAATTGCCATTATTGTGAAATGAGCCTTGAAATTTAGCATACAGTGGGAGGCGATTTTATCAATAAGATAAAGACGACTTTCGAATTCAATTCTGATGTAAATTAAGCATGGATACACAAAAACTATAGAAGTCAAAAGAATTTATCAATTAAAAAAGCTTCTCTTTGATTACTTGTAAACTTGTAATTCGAAGAAAGCTTGTTAACAATCAAACCTTAAATAAAAAAGCCGTCTTCATTGTAGTGATATAATAGCTTACCACCGTATTAAATGAATAACATTTTTTAACGATTTGAAGAAATTTACACCGCTAGAATTTTAAAATTTTTATAAAAAAAATTAGGATTCAGAAAAATGTCAAAGACCTAAAGTTTAAACTTTTCCTCGTGAATCTCAGGATCAAGCATTGATCTCCGTTTAAGGCTGATCAATTTGATTTCTCTTCGATATCCCGTGTTGATAGTTGCCGGCAGGGATACTTTATATTTAGAGATCAAGCCACACTTGTATGCGATTTCATGAGCGCCTGATCCAATCAGGGTTCAGTCATGTGTTTGGTGACTAATCTAAACCAATAGAAATTGCATCTATCTATCTTATCATCCAATTAGAGATGAATCCTTATATCGGAGCTAAACATTAAATGTAAATATTTACTTCTACTGAAACCACAGTGAAGCATTGATCTACAATTTAAAAAGTGCCCGTATTAAATATCGAGATCAAGAATTATTATTAATAACAATATAATGATTTAAAATAATCCATCCACACAAAACTTTCGATCACTGATTAAGTTATTTTTTAAGTTAAACATTGAATCCCCAATTACAATTACAATCAAACATTTTGTCTCTAGATTGACTTGATTCAGTAATAGTTCTAAGTATCTTATTATTATTTTATATTTTCATCTGTAAACAGAATTTTTTATAAGTGATAATTTGGAAGTTTCCCAATTCATTAAAAAATAATCTAGAGAAGAGCAGAACCTCATAGAACTTATTGAAGAGATTTCAACTTCAGCTCTGAGAGGAGTTCAACTGGATATCAGGTAGAAGGGGACATCATAATGATTATGATAATGATGATAATGATGATAATGATGATAATGATGATAATGATGATAATGATGATAATGATGATAATGATAATCATGATAATGATGATAATATGATAATGATGATAGTTATGATAGTGATGATAATGATAATAATGATGATAATGATGATAATGATGATAATGATGATAATGATGATCATGATGATAATGATGACAATGATGATAATGATGATAATGATGATAATTATGATAGTGATGATAATGATGATAATGATGATAATGATGATAATGATGATAATGATGATAATGATGATAATG